TCTTCTCGTTATATATATATCATCATGTTTCTCTCTAGATAATATATTTCATACCTCTGGACTACAACGAATTTGACTCAATAGAACAAATAATAAGCCGAATCTAAGCTGTGTCACTTTTCCCATCATATAAGCTTGGCAGGTCCACAAGGACAACCAATATTTTACAGATGAGCTGAGTCAATATGCAGATTTATCCGACTCTGGATGAAGTGCAGAAAGATAGTCAAGCTCGGGCTTCACATAGCCCCCTTGCTTACTTGGAGTCAGTGGCTTGGCCCATCAGGCTGGTGAACCTGGCTTAGTTTCAAGGACGATGGGGGAATATAGCTCGGTCATATCGAGTGCATTATTGAAATTTGTCCTATGACGAGCAATAAACATCAGCGATATTTTCTGAAGAACATGGAGCCACAAACAAATAGCCTTCGTACTGAAATTCAAAATGCGGTACCGCGCGTAGGGAATAGGCAGTGGCAACGCATGGGGCAGCTTAAAAGACATGAGCTGGCTCATGGTAAAACAATCGGCTTCCTATACAGAGAGTCGTCAGCACAGGCTAAATACTCTCGAAACTGCCATAGTGATCGGAACTCACTTTTCCAGCTACTGCTGCGCGTGCCATTCTAGTTTAGTCAAGTCGGCTTGGTAGGGGATGATTTCGATCTATGATAAACCATGAGTAGGTAGCTTATTGAGGCCCTTCATAACTCAACGCCTTCGCAACCTGAGTTTATTATAGACCATTGCAGGTCCGTTGATTGAATTCCCAGAGGAACAACCGAGACGGAACTGTTATTAAACATCTTCTACATGAGCATGGTCTCAAATGATTGGGCAACTAAACTTACCTGCCGTTTATAACTTTCAGTGTCGAGCATAGACAGACTAGGAGCGATACAAAAGGTCAGTTCGATCATAAGTGCGTGGCAGTTCAGGGTCGGGTCAGCCAGTAGTGGAGAAGACTAGCTGGCGAAGTCGAGAGGCGTTCGATATTATTTACCCCGTAACGGCAAGGGAATACTTGAGAACGACTACTCTGCTGGCGAGGAATCGGGTATTGATAGCATTACAGCCAGTCCTTACTCTTGCGTCGATGTAACGGGCGTTGCGAATTGTGAGGGTCTTAATACCGCTGACACTCAGATTGCAGCTGGTTCGACATTTGCCCGTTGATCTGACGCAGAATTCGGAGGCATCGCTACTTTTTCTTGATTATTCAGTGTGTCAAAACGATTCCTCACTGTTGGCACCATTTAAACACTCCCGATGATCCACAGAGAAGCGCCGACGTCACGTTTCAACAGTCATCAACATGGATCTGTAGTTTATCGCTACAGGAGATGGCACATTAGCAGTCACCTTATTCAACCCTCTTCAATGATCGTGAACACTTATCTCGCTGATAAAATGTTGAACATTGTTACGTCGTCGTCGTCGTCTTTTTTGGGCGGTTCCGCGCGAGATGTGGGAGGGTCCCATTTTATTACCATCCGAGGATCATGTTCTAGATAGCATTTTGCCGCATGGCGTACGCTTGTTGCAACGGACTTTACGGCGGCGACAGGTGACACAGCTCCGTGAGCTTTCCGAGGGTGGACGCGGGGCAGTGGCGAAGACAGGCAGTGCGGTCGGAAAATTATCTCTGGAGGGGGATACATGCACCCCCTACGGAGAAGTTGAATGTCTAGCAAAAGTCCACTAAACCGTAAGATATTTGCCATAAGAGTCGCCTCAGGCGGAATTGGGATGCCTTAGGCGTGATGCCTTACGCCTAAGGCATCTGAGTATGCCGCCTAAGGTGACTGCTATATTATTTTCTTGTTTACGTCATGATGACCGATACTCATTTTGTAACGCGTATATAATCCCCATGCTCAAGGCCATTGCGATTGACAATGCATTAGAGAACTAACCTTTCCAGGTAGTTAACATGACGCATGATCACTTCGCTTCACTGCGCAATGAGTGAGCCAAGAGCCCCTCCTCGTGGCCTTTAATGACCGGGATGTTCTTCCCCGCTAGGTCCAATTGCTAATTAATTGTCTTCCCCAGAGGCGACGATGGGAATAGCAACAACAGCAACTGCCATAACTGCAAAGGTGAGCCTACAAGTCTTAACAAAAGTCGACAATGCTGAAAGTCGCTCCACAGGATGCCATAATGTATGTTTCTACGCCATCTAGGTTCATTTCTCCTCACATCATAAAGTCACGCTTTCTGAGTAATGCTTACTACAAATTTTAGTGCTCCGATTGTACGGACTGTATCAACTGTTCATTCTGCAGTAACTGCAGCAACTGCGATGATTGCGAGCAGTCTTCCAACATGACGAACTGTAGCAAGTGCCAATATTGCTCCAACATGGTAAACTGCACGAACTGCAAAAATTGCTCCAACTTGAAGGTAGGTACCACACATGGAACAGGCTGGGACATTAATGGCTGACCGCTTTGCACGGGCAGGACCGGGATGGTGCTGTTAACGAGTCTGGATAGATATTTTGGAGGCGACCTTGTTTATAAAGGATATATCGTCCATCTTCCGACCTATGTCCACTAGTAGAATGATATTTACGGAGGAATAATGAACGAATCGGTGCCATGAATGATCCACATGTGCCACGAAGCCTTAGTAGAAATGATTGGTCCGAATTTGGCTATGAGCCCCTGGGAGTTTGAGCCCTACCTGTGAGGGTCTCACGTATCTGTTTATGAGGAGCGTACCTTTCCAATGAATGATCAATATTAACGAAGGCTATAGTCGACTCTAGATACAAGACGTAGCGCGAGGAAGCAAAAGAAAGACAGCTTCCTCGCGTTCAGGGGAACCCAGATGCGCCATGGGGGTCCGTATCCTCCGCTTAGCGTGTATGCCTCGTGTATATCCCTGACAAAAATTCGCCCAATCATTTCTACTGAGGCTATGTGGTGCGTGTGGATCTTTGCAAGACACCAATTGGCTCATATTTCCTTGCAGCGATAGCATCCCGTATCCACTTCGTTCCCAGAAGTCGATGTGGATACTGTGTCAGGATGAGGAATTGATGTACTGGCTAGTACTGAAGATGTCCAATAAAATCAGATGATTGATCAAAGGTGTTAAGATCGGTTGAGCGATCTCAAGGGTCTATATCGAACTATGGCGTGTTATGCATAATTCCGAATCTCATACTAGGGCGAATTAGGTGAACGATGAATAAGCCTATCCCGAAGGGTCCTGTCGGAACGTTGTCGTTACAGTACGGACGAGTACGGGCATAGCCAATTGAGTACTTGAGTGTGTTCCTTTTGAATACTATGAAAAGTACAGAATATATGCGAATGGGCTTAGTAAGATCGTTTAGAGCCATGCAAACATGGTTGAAAACAGGCATATGGGGGTGCTGAATATTCCTCGGGCGCACTAATAAAACTGCGGCCCTCTTTTGTCGACAACAGTTACTGGCGGTGCTTTGTGCGTTCCGATATCCTATGGTTGACTCAACACGGCAGCGAGATGGTATGAACATCAAGTTCATCTCACATCAAGCGTCCACATCGATATTAATGTTGCCTCGCGATACGTCTTGCCATCTTCGCAGTGAATATCATACCCATCAGATAATTAGTTGTCGTCGGAACGGCTTATAGAATTGTGGTACAGCGGGTACAGCGAGTCTCAAAATTGGAATTGGGGTCACTACAACACCTACAATCTTTGTTTTTCTCAGAAAGGTAATTGCCAGGATGCGCTACTTCATGCTGAGTTGTTTTGCAGAGTACCTTTGGCGATGTTCTACGTATTGTTACTACGTATATCAGTACAGTAATACATGCAGTCTCACCTCGTCTAAACTTACACCCTTTGCATCACCACCTTCCTAGAGGTCGCACCGCTCTCTCTATTTGTACATCTAGATATCTCATTGATGGGTTTGGGATTGGCAGAATACGGGTGCTAGATCTTGCTGAGGCGTTACAACATATTGGTATAATGAACCTGTAATCTATTATATGTACCCCTGGAATCCTATCGCCTTGGTACGATAAGATCTTCACGATCATATATCAGTGGCTTAGCACTGAGCTGGCCACTTTGGATCATGGAGTGGGAATGAAATTTTATCGTTCCCAGAGTCTAGGTTTTGAGGCCTCATTGCGGTCTCGCGTCTTGTCGACTACTGCGTGCCACGTACTGGCCGAGGCTATACAGGATAGCTCCTGGCCCTCAGTGTATTGTTGGAGAAAATACTATAATGAAATTCAATTGTACTGGAATATTTACCACTATCGGTTTTCTGGATTTTTTTGGGCATTACATTTCTCAATAATCAGGGCTAGTGTGCTTGGTTGGAACTGGCAATCACATGTAAATGGATCGCTGATCATAGCTGGTCGCCCAATCATACTCATCATCGGGACCTAGCTCTATCAAGACCGGAATGATCTGCAGATCTCTGTGGGTATGCCTTGCTAAATCAAAGCTCAGCCGTGTTCGGAATGGGTTTATGCAGGCGTAGAATCTTTATCCGTGAGATGACTGCCGACCGTCGATCGAAAATGCATAGGTAACGCTATGCCCGGGAATGCGAACTCATTCCACACTACTACTAATCATGAATTGAAAGCATTACTGGCTTGCTCTTTTGTCCCCTTACTAGAAAAGGTAACAATGGAAATTTTTTTATAAGTCTCTGCATTTGCATAATAGTACGGGGAAACCTAACTTAATAGGGAAAACCTATACTAAGACAAAAAGGGTCTCACAGTCACAGAAATTTAGACACGTAGCACGTCTCGACAGAGCATACTGGGGATGATATATGTTAGTAATAAGCAGGGTGAGTGCTGGGCTTGCTGCAGCTATTGGTAGTGGCTGGCTGACTCACATAGCTAATGTAATATTGTCGGAATTTCCAACTTCCGTGTGGCCTAGGTTTTGATGACCAAGGTTCAATGTACTTATGTCACGTGAAGCAAAGAGTTAAGACATTGGTTAGCCTATTGCTGCCGATTCCCCTATTCCTCCTTAGGTGCTAGGTGAACGTTCGTTGCAGATAGACCCTTACGGCCATTCAGAAGTTGGTAGCAGACGTGTTGGCCTTCTCTAACACTCCCCTGGTGTAACGATTCTTAGTATGTAGAAAATATAATTCCTCTTTAGTGCCCGCGTTGTACCTTCAATCCTGTTTGATGGACAAAAACTTCATTCCCATCGTTATCCGGTTTGATGAAGCCATATCCTTTTTCGGTATTGTACCACTTAACGGTTCCGCATGCCTCTTCTGCTACCAAAGCCAATGTCGACTGCAGACAAATGGCAACGCAGCCGAGTGTGGAAAGGAGTTTCATTTTGATAGAAAATGGACCCAAAAATGTGACGCACAATTTGTTTGGTAAAGAGAGAGAAAGAGAGTGTGTGTGAGGATGAAAGCAAAAGGTTGCAAAATCTCCATTCAAATGCATCGCAAAATATTTATGCCCACTCTCAGCTGAGACACGATCGGTTTTTGCAAGACGCATGAACGCACAATCGGCACTGGTTATGATCAGCACACCGCTATGAACGATTCGGCAGCTCTAAAAGCCTTGGAAGCAAGGGATATTCACATCATCCGACAGGAATGTTCGGGCAACTCGTTTTTTCTATGATGTCAACCATGCAGCGAGATATCCGAGCTCCAGAGATCGACGCTAATTTGAGACTACGCCCTATTTAAAGCAGATGCTTTTCCACGGAGACTTAGTTAAATATTGAAACACTCCTTTAGTAAGTCAAATATGTACCTAGCTGGTGATACCAACAGATGTAAAGCCTAATGGCAGGATGAGGAATTGATGTACTAGCTAGCACTGAAGATATCCAATAGAATCAGATGATTGATTGAAGGTTAATGAGAGCGGTTGATCGCCCCTCGAGAGTCTGTTTCATGCCGATGTGGTGTGTTACGACACCATAACTCCGAGTCTATCCCGAATACCATACGAATACCAAGGAAATACTAGGGGAATTGGTTGGACGATGAACATTTTATCCCAAAAGGGTATTAGTGGTATGTAACCACTCCTTTAATTCGACAATATATGCCGAAATAAATCCAGAGACCTCAAGCATCAGTGGCTGCAAAGCTGCCTTGGACGCCAGCTGGAAGACTTTAAGCTAAGCTCTACCGAGAGCTATAGACCTATGTCCACAGCCAGAAGGATTTGGCTCCAGACATCTGCTCTAAAACTGGTGCCTAAGGCCTCACCGCAGCTTTCCGACATTACATACATACAACTCGAGCCATGGCCATTTTGGACGTGCGTCAGCTGACTACGGTCACGGCGGGCTTTCGAACAAGCAACGGAGGTCTAATCTGGACACTTGGCTATTAGGGCCTGGGGTCCTTGTGATGTAATTCAACCGAAGGTTGATTGTTATTATTTCAGAGGGGATACGTGAGTCTATATATACATTGAGAAGATCAAAGATCAAAATGATTGGACATCAATTTGATACTTCGTATAGATCTCTCGGGAACTAATTCCGATGGTGCGGCTTCGTTCCTGATCTGCACCAGCCTCATATCACAACACCCGGCGTTGTTTTTTGTTTTAATGTGAGGAATTCGTAGGAGGTGGACTCACCTGTTGTCCGATCCTCTAAAGCCTGACGTATCCTAAGGAAGATCTGCGAGACTTTGCGAGATTCAAGACCTTGCAGCTAAGGAATGTGGTGTGATACCGAAATTTTCCGAAGCCAATCAGCCTTGAGTGGGGAAGAGAGGAACACTAGCAGATCGATAATCCTGCCGATCAGCTGAGTATCGTAGATCATTACTATATATGCATATCCAAGTGCCACATTATTGCTCACGGAAATATGGCAGTGGGACTTTAGGTTCAGGACCGAACACAAATGCAGCCACTCATGTCGATCAATGCGCAGCGATCATTGTCTTGATTTTGCTTTTTACGCGATTATCAAGTAAGCATAATAATATCCTTCGATTATTTTTCGCATGATAAGGGGCTTGGAATTTCCATTCCTCCCAGTTTCACGATCGCCTTGTCCTCACACCCATTTTTCCAGATTGCACATTTAGCCAGAAGCTTGCAACCATGAAGCCTGCGAAAACACTCACAAATTGTTTGTGTCTCATTTCATTCATTTTACACTCAGCGAGTGCAATTGTGGGAGGAAATGATGCTTCTGCGGCTAGTGCGCCATTTGCAGTCGCCATTATCTCGAGTGGCTGGTTTGGTGACTCCTACCATTGTGCTGGTTCCTTGATCGGTCCCAAATCGGTTCTTACTACAGCTGGATGTGTCGATGGATTTTCGGCAACTTCGCTGAAGGCACGAATCGGCAGTCTCGAGCACGCTGCTGGCGGTCAGTTGCAACAAGTGACAAAAATTATCAAGCATCCCAACTATAACACCAACACCCATGACCACGACTACGCAGTTCTCCATTTGACGTACCCAATTACAAATATTGAATTCGTAGCGATTTCCGAGCAAGCTCCGGTTACAGGGGAACCCGTAAGCCTCTATGGCTGGGGAATGACTGGCAAATTGTCGAATGAGAACCCCCCGCGCGTTGCAGCAGCTCCAGACAACTTTCATGTCATTTTCCGAGTGCGATCAGATATGGTCGGACGTCAATACCGTGACTTCGAATATGAACTGTGATGCAGCGCCGGAGAAGAGCCAGGGCTCCTGTTCCCATGACCAAGGAGGGCCAGTTGTAAACGACTCTGGTGAGCTAGTGGGTATTATCGGCTACTACAACTACTGTGCGCCGCAGTCCGATGGTCGCCCGGACGTCAATAATGACCCGGTGGGCGCATCTGACTGGATCGCTCAAAATACCATTTGAATGATATACTGGGAAAGTAGGTGATGAGCATAAAGTGCTATGGTCGGCCAGGCTAACGGACGTCTGTACTAGGTTAGAATACTTATCGGATGAGTCTGAATTGGCTGGGAGTACAATGTTTTATGTATTATTCGTCAATGCAACGACTGCTTTGGGAAGAAGGACGGCTATTTATGTAGTTTTGCTTACACCCAGTTGTCCTGCTCGAGTTGAATAGCAGAGTTTGGCTTTTCCGGTTCCCATTGTAGCATTTTTCGCACTAGGCGGAGAACCATTTCCGTTCCTTCTCCCTCGAGACCAGTCTCTCTTTGCTCGAGCGAGATGTGTTCTCCCACTAATCCCACGGCGCACAAGTCACCTAGAATAGCAGAAATAGTCTATAATCGACCTTTCTATCGACAGGAAAAGGATATATAGATGATTTACCTTTGAAAAGAATCTTTGGGTCGGATTCCCCGGGGCATTGAAACTCTGGGTCCTGGCCAGTAACCAGCGACCTCCCTTCGAAAAAGTTCCAAGTCTGACGGCGTAAGCCCAGACACGTTTTGTATCATAAGTATCGGCTTTCTTAACACGCATTCACGTTCCATATACCAACGTTATATGACCGTGAGGCTTACAAGATGACTACTCGTGCTCGATAGATATCCGGCTGAATGTCTTCCGAGTGCTCTTCGCCACACATCACAGCTAAACCAAAATCGCAGAGGATAGGCGCGCCTAGGTTTTTAGGCATTCTGAGCTCACGGGAGGTATAGACTGTCCTTCCACTTAACTCCTTCCTAGGACAGGCATTTTGGAGCTCATTGTTTTCGAAATCACCGAAAGTGGAATCATCAGCAATGCCGAACATAACGTTATCTGCTTTGACATTTAATATATTGATGAGCAAATGATTGAGCATAAAACCGGGAAGAGAAAGCTGCACCAGTATGGGTGATCTTGCATTCTGTATGCTGATAGTCTCATGCAAGAAATAGACGATGAAGTGTCACTGCCAAGATTGGTGTAGGCAGTCAGTCTCTGTACCGGGTTGCGGAATAGAAAGTCCAACACCCTCTCCCACAGCGGAGGATGCACGAGACACCGAGGTTTGTCTTCAGGTCCGCTGATGTCAAAGGAGTCCAGCAACGGTCTGACGTACTTCGAGTCACAACTCTCCCGATTTGCGATGAGCAAGCTCGTCTTTGCCCGTCGATAGCTCTCCTTTATCTAGTAGGTATTGGTGGAAATTGAGGGCCAATGGAAGTACTGCTTCTGACCACTGATAGGTCTGAGCAAAACCCAGGATCTGCCTCATGAGTAGGTTGGGGACTGCCTTTGGGTGTTTGCCACTGAAGAGATATCCAATGATGGCTAGATAGGTAAGGAAGCAGCTCGTCCATATTTGAGGGTTGGGGCCCCAGTCCTTAAGTGATGCTGCTGCCTTCTTGAAGCCTACTGTGCCGTGACACTCGGAGGAGGGGGCAGCGAAGGTAAAATGTTTTGGGAATTAAGAGGATTGGATATCTGGTTACCCGAATGTGGTTTTACCAACTTCGTTTTGCTTTCGGCATTTCCTGCGACGGCAATATCCGCAGGAAACCCAACCCTTTTTCTTTTTTCTATCTTGATCAAGATATTGAGCAAAGAGCACACTTGCTGCTGGTCACCGAGTTCCGATTCTGTAAATCACCTTTTTCCGTGGCGGCTTCACCTCACAAGTTGGATCGACCGTTAGCCAACCCTGCATGCATAGTTTAACATTAGTCAATTACATGATGTTGAGTTACACCCGAGCACCCTAGCCGAAATAGATGGTGCTCGGGCAAGTTTGACTTGCGATAGATTCGCCACTGGACGAGTATCGGTCTCCATCTATGGTTTCAATGGGATATACCCAGCAGGCGACTTCCAGGTCCAATCTATGTCCTTTGTGGTTAAAGCGACACTGCCGACTTTTCACAGCCTTGCAGTTAGGCTTCTGGCATAGGTGCCCCAAGAAACACTTGATTGAACGACAGATGCCTCCCTTTGTACAGGGGTGTTGCTGGACGATGTAGCGGAGGACGTCAACGACGGTTTCGGAGACATCGCTGTGGTCATATTGACAGTTCATGTCCCCACATTCGCCTGACAAATGATAACTGTTACAAACCTGGGCGATCTTCGCCCGACGGTGGTATTGATCGAGGGCTTCCGAGGTAGGCTGAGGGCAGTAGGTATCTAGACGATCGCCGTCTTTATTAACGGGGATATATTCCATAGATTTAAAATTCGTAGGCGGCAAGTGGGTAAAGAAAAGCTCTTGGGATCGACCCACGACGTGTGGTGTTGACCAAAGCTGTTTGGGTGATTCATCTCCGGGCCGAGAGAGATTCTGATTGGGCATGACGTGCTGTTTGATGCAGCCACTTCCAAATTTGCAGATTCCCTGTCGATGTGTCAATTCTGAGCTGGCACTCTAGATCAATATCTACAAAGAAGAGTGGGGGATATTACCTTTTGGAAGTGTTTGCAAAGTGGCTTCGTGGGCCCCGCCCCATTAGTGCCATTAAATCCGTTTGAACTGTTGGTGCCGTTTATAGGAGAATTGGCCAGCTTGGTATTGACCGCAGAGACCGGTTTACCGCTAGTAGGAAGAGAAGTAGACATGAACACAGAGGGCATTTCCTTAATGGGAAGACCTAATTCTTCAAATTCCCGATGGAATCCAGCTGCCTTGAGGAGGGTGATACGATCACTTTTATCCTTATAAGGGGTCAGAAGAGAGGCATATCCAGTGTCATGGCAACCTGCAAAATATATATGTCGGCATTGATTCATATCGGCATACAAGCGGAAAATCTCTGGGTAGGATTAAGTTAATAAAATACATCAATCGATGGAGAGGTACTTTTGTCAGTCCACGGTACCTCTGATTTTAAAATCGCTTCCTTCCTTCTTCTCTGCAGCATCAACAAAGTCGAAAAGATCCTGGGCACGGTTGAAAGCCGACGAAAATGGCGACAGAGATCGAGCTTCGTGTCCGACCATCCCGCTTCGTGCCAAGACTTTGGACAGGTCCAGGATATTAGCGTAGACACGGACCATACATAATACGGCACCGGTCGGCCTCAGCACCCATAGTGGAGAACATCAGTTCTCTAACGGAATCGCTCAATTCCCGAGCGGCGTTGATGCCGCCATCGCTGCTAGCTTTAATAAAATGTTCCTTGAACTGCAAATTGTTAGAAGAATGAGCAGGGGAAAAGGCAAGCCTTCCACAAAAAGAAAAAAAGAGAGAAAAAAACCCGCGCAAGAGGGGGAAAGAGCAAATAATGACATTATCACGTACCAGGTAGCCATCACCGTCCACGAGAACCAAAACGAAAGGATTGCGCTCCTGGAAATACATTAGCTCCCGACTTCAAGACTCAACCGTGTTAGGCGTCCATGAACAATAGTATCATACCTGACCGCGGGCCTGCTTCTTGTACTTTTCGCGACCTTCCTTGACTTCTTCGTAGTCGCTTTTCAGAGAGCTGTAGTCTTCGAGGACATTGCGGAATTGCTCCAAGACGAGCTGCAACTTATCATGGTGAGACGTGTTCTCATGGGAGAGAGTTGCAAGTTGGTTGTTTAGGGAATCTATATCAGAATCCCTCAGCAGCATGACGTAAATGGTGGGAAGGCATATGCCCCCAAAAAATCAAGAATAATGAAGAGTCCTCTCATACAAGGGATGGCTATTATGGCGATGGTGAAATCGAGAAGAGAAAAGGCAGAAAGAAAAGCAAAAGGCGGAATGCAGAGAAGAGTGAAAGAGTCAAGGTGAGACGATTGAAGGGTTGGGGAAAACAAATCACTGCCGAGTTTCGCGGGCAGACGGCTTCACCGCCCACATCACCTGATAAACCATTGCTGCCTTGCGCCGGCTGGACTTTGTGCGTTTGCACTCGCTCATTCACTCATTCAGGCGTTCACTGATTCACCCCGTATGGTTGCATCCATTGTGAGCCCAACTCTGTATTCTTTGGGCTCCTCTGAAACACATTACCACAAAAGATATGCGTTGACCTGGCACCTGGAGCGCAGCGTTATGCGCCAACATTTTTCAGCAGGTAAAGAGCCTTTTATCTTTCCAATTATTCTCCATGCCTGCGAAGAATAATCTATTTCCGTACCCTGCTAGCTATTAATTGGTGGGTTAAAGGCAAATTCAAAGACTCTCGAAGACTCACATTGTCTGTCTGTACACTGGAATCAATCCTCTATGTAGCCCGGCTTACGTTCGCTGGTATTCGATTCAGTCCGATATCCAACAGGTTCGGCTTTCCATCCACTTACCTAAATACTACTTTCAGTTCGATACACAAGTCTTCGGAGTGAAACAGGAAGCAGAGGGCATATCAGCCAGCCCAGCACAGAAGCGGATCAGGTCGAGACCAAAGAGGCTTTTGATCGCACGCAGGGACGGCAAAGGATCGGGAACCGTGAGAATGATGGGTGGCTGTTCGTATGATAATTCTTAACATTGGTTTGAAAAGGCGAGGCCAGGGGGAGGTAAACACGTCTTAGGCAATACTACGTTTTGGCCAGCCGGAGGGCCGAGCCCTCCTCGATTGAGGCCTATTGAATACGTCGAGCGAAGCAGCAACGTTCCCAACAGATGTCTTTGGAGATGGGAGCGCAACTGTACGAAGAGCCAACAGCTGGCACAATCGGGCTTGTCCAGCACGAGAGGCGGGTGCATGGCAACCTGTCGTTCCAAGCTCGGTCGCGTCAGGCGCATTACTGACATTGAGCCGACAGAGAAAAAGAAACATTAGCGATTCGTTCTGGGTGAAAATGGACGAACTCTCAACCGAAATTCAATATCCAACCTCATAGCCATGAATATAGGCAATAGTAATGGCAATGCGCCCGGATGGACTCCATGGCGTGTGATTCTGCTGGCGTCGATGGAAAGGATCGGGAACATTGACCAACCGCGCGAAGCTTGTGCTGGAAGCATTGCCTACAAACCTAGCGTATCGTCAGCCCGGGATGACGAGCCACGAAGCCCCACTGATAAGATCATACCAATCAGCTCTCGGATAGCATTGGGTTTATCATGCCAGCATTCAATCAACGTCCGGGGCCCCTTTCGGCGTGATCTATCATAAATGGTCAGTAGAGATTACTTGGAGATTCTGCTTCACTCACTATTCTCACAACCCGAGTAAGACTGCTAAATCCAGGCAAGGTAGAGACGTCGACTCTATTCGTGGGAACACTAGTAACAGGGCTGGTTCTCAACGAATATTCCGGTCAGCATGGTGTCGAGTGCCAGGGTTGATGCACATACCTGCCATGAACGTACTTCTCTATCGAGCATAGACAAGCTAGAGGCGGTGTTATGAGCGTCGGTACAGTCACAAGTATGAGAGACCAGGCTCCGTACCACAGAAAGAAGGCCCAAGGTGCAGGCCATAGTCCGAAGCAGAGCCGTGCCACTGGGTGCCATCTCGTCCTGGAACAAGGCATACGCCAGACTCGATATGTTCAATCGCACCAGTACAAAAGACGGTCAAGAGGGAAGAGGAACTACTCATGTCTTAGGCTGGGCTGACTGCGACATTTTTACGACGAGACCGTTGTGCTGGGGTCTGGGGGACATATTTATAGTGCTGCAGGCGCGTTGTCGCTCGCGCAGCTGTGATCGAGGGTCCGACCGAGTTGGCCCTCATATCGTGGCCTGTTGAACCGTTTAACGATTGATTATATGCTGCTTTGGGTGGCACTGCGGAATTTCTCTCGATGGCAAACTATTCTGGAGTCATTTTCCAAGATTGTCGATATCGTTTCAGCATCGTTTCAACATTCGTGACGCAGCTACCACAAGCCGAAAAGCCAGCGATTCGTCAACTTTCATCAACGTGGGTGTTCACTTGTCAAAATACATACTGGTCAGTTCTTTAAGTTGTGGCGCGGAAAGGAATTCTGCGGCCTCACTCAACTTGTCCTCAACGATGATAATTGCTCATTTCGATGATGAATATTCGACGATACTCAACGTTGTATGGATAAATTGGTATGCAGACTCATCGACTAGCCTCCTTTTGATATCGTTTGTTAGACTGTTTTGTTTTCCTGCTTGCGCTAGCCTCAATTCCTGTCTATTGTATTATTGTCAAAGTGTTTTTTTGCACCAAACACTGTGTTCCTTAACTCCTACAAATAACGCTGCTTCTTATAAATTTATTTCTGAGCGTATCAACTTATTCATTTCTATCACAAATGGAGGGGCCGCAAGCAGAACATGGTGGAAAGACAAGAAATCTTAATTGCCTCGCCGTGGATATCTTCATTTACAGTAAGCCACCGCTTTACGATCAGAAACATCGAATAGTGCCAAGCAAACAAGCACTCGGGCTACAATCTTGTGCCCCGCGTCTGTCTGACTTTTAAGGCGGTGAACAGCGGCCAACCACAATCATTCAGAAAATTACGATCTACACTGTATCTCTTGAGAGATCATTGCGCACTTACCACCTAGTGTCCATACCTGATAAGTATGTAACCCCAGCTGAACCCACTGTTTCAGAGATGGAAACTTCGATAAAGCCTGCTTATCGAGACCAACTCTTCGACGCGACAATTCAAATTTTGGAGACCGCGAGATGTTTCGGCCCTGACGTGCCTCTCGATGCTGCCTCCCTTGAGGATGGGATCCATGCGTTGCATGATACGCTGCTTCTTTCCTGGTGTGAAGATGCGTCGCTACTGACTCCCTTTTACTTGGTCTGCCTCAAACTCTGCCAAGGGTTTCTCCATTCCATAGGGCCCGATCCAGACTTTCTGGGCCTTGACAGATCTCAGTCAGTGGATACCGCTTATGCCAACTGATTCCAGTCCTACTGTCTCTGTTTCACGCCCTTCGAACTTTTGTCGTTTTTCATATGCTGGTATGCCAATACATTCAATACGGAAAACTGATCCTAACCATTATCCCAAGTGTCCCATTCAGCCCCAGTGAAGATACCAAGAAACGATGCTTGACCTGCGTTGCCCGCGCTATCCATGACCTCGAGAAACACAAGAGCCATCTCGAATCCCTCGCCGACTCTGAAAATATTCTCCTGCAACGTTACGTTACGACCTCATGCCTTATGATGGGGTTGAACTGTCTATGTGCAGTTGACATTGATTCGTGCGGCAACTGCTTCTGTGAATGCATTCGACACGGCAGCAATCGCATGCACTTGAGACTGGACGATATCGCTAGTACTCGTCTCGGGAACGATGCTATAGAGCACTTCGCCAGCCTTGGAGAGCCATTGCTGAAGGAGATATCTCGGAGACGGGACTTGGAAGATGACCGGATATTGCAAGATCTTACAGACAGCTATCAAGATTTGGAAACTCGTTTCCGGCCCGCTGTTGAATGTCTCGCGCATGAAGATATTCTCGTATCACGAGAGATCATCACGAGAGGATATCGGCTCGAATTCGGCGTGACGGCCACTGCTAAATCAGTGCCATCACCCCAGTAGATAAGATCAAAGCTCGAACGTGTCCGCACTGCGAAGTTACAAGTAGATTTTCATGCCCATTCAAGGTTCTCTCAATTGGCAGCGCTTCACAAGAGCAGTGACCTTCTGGGAGACTCGTCTTAAAAGCAGCGCCCTCTCAAAGAGATACTTTTGTCTTCATCAGCTCCCCAAGAAGAAATTCTTAGGAACCAATGATTCACATGAAGATCTTGGTTGTACCGCGCACCACTAGGCAAATTGGTTCATCACTCTCCTGCACGTCCCACAACGCGAGCGGCCATTGAAATCAGCTTTTCCTCCTTCCCTAATCCTTCTGCGGTCACAATGGCTTTCTCCTCATGTGCGGAAATCAAGAATATCGCATTAGTATCGTCCGCTGTTGCTGCGCGGTAGCAATGGGCCGGACGAAGGCTCTTGAGGTTCACATCGTAGAGTGTAAATCCTTTGCAGGAGTACTTTCGTGCGAGCCGCTCCATGGGTGAGGGGTCGGACGGGTCTACGAGGAGACAGTCTGATTGGCTCCACTGACCTCGTTCCAGTGACCAGAACTTGATTTCGATAAGTGTTTGTGTAAACGCTTGGCAATTGAGGTCGTCATTTCTTGTTCGGACGTGCTCGGCATCTCTGTTCGTTGCTTCCGCTTGCTGATCAGCAGAGGTTGGCGGTGACAAACTCTGAGTAGGACCTGATTGAAGCAAGTTTCTGGTTGGATTATGATAGAGCAGATTGAGCTCTTCATTGAGCCGGTCGTTCTCCATTCTTTTTTCCACCTCCTCTTGCTCCACTTGGGCCCTTCTCAGGCCATCGAGAAAAGGTTTCAATTCTTCAGACCTAGAGAGTCGGTTTTCTTCAGACAACATTACCGTTTCCGAGGAACATCGTCGCTGTGCTGCAGGATCAGCAATTCCGAGGGCAGATCCAGTGTCTGGACTGGGTTCCTCTCCTGTTGCTCGCTCGCCCTGGTCCCATTCGAGTGAGACTGTTTCCAGAGAGATCTGGGTGCATTCACTCTTAGAATCTCCAAGCTCTGGATCAGCCCCGGGCGAGCAGCGAGAAGGGACCATTTCCAGCACTGAATCGCTCAGTGACCATCGGGGAGTAGAGTGATCTCCACCCGATGGACTTCTCTGATCAAAGATTTCCTCATCTTGAGCTGGCTCGAGAGGATCTAAGTCCATAGGCTCGGGTCTATTTTCTGAATGGTCGATCACACTGGAGAGTACCAGACGTGTTGAAGCGTTGCTTCTTCCGGTAACAGATGACCTGCCTGATGCGCCCTTGTGCCGTGCAGACGTATCAAAGCCCGGTGCATGTTCCTTTTCAACAAACAACGGCGATTCCATCCCCTCTTCAAACCCTTGGTCTGTATTCAAATTGCCGCATCTTCTGTTATTGATGGGATCAACCGTTGGCGACTTCCCCCAAAAGGCGAAAAAGAGACAACGCCGGACAAAAAAGCTAGTGATTGTATCGGCGGCATCAACATCAGCATGCAGTCGATCTAAGAATAACAAAGGGGCATCTTGAATATGGGTGCGGGTCTGCGGAACCCCAGAGCGAGCGTGCGCCTTGACGGTGCTGTCTGCCAAAAGATCTTGCGGGGACCGGGCTGATTAGGCACAGCCTCAGTAAAACAATCTACAATTCGTCGCACCAGACTATCAAAGTGTTGGTCATCGTATCTAAACCGGCTTGGCTTTCGGGCCTGGAGAAGGGCCGATCGTGCAATCTGGTGATCCGGAGAACTGTTCAGCAGCCCATCAATTTCTGGGGACCTAAAGCCGAGCCGGTGAGCTAGATGGGCCATGTCGAAGATCGCGCGCGGGTCCGGCTTAGCGCAAGTCGGTTTGGCCAACAGATCATCAGAGTTCTTGGGGTCCGGCGGCATCAGTGGATAATGTCGCATAGCATACAGCCATAATTGCTGGTATCCTGTCTCGAAGCATTCTGTCTCGGACGCATGAAGGCGTCGGAAGGTAGACTCCGAGGTCTGAATGATACACTTCCCTTTCTCTCGGTGATTTTCCCCAGACTCCGAGTCTGGATCAAAGATCGAACTCATGGCTTCCCTCACAGATCGGGGTGATGGACCCAAGAGCCGCTTCAGACAGTGAGCACAACTCTCCAGGTACTTGAAATCCTCAAAGAAAGTGTATAGGGACGGGATGAGACCATCAAAGTCTTTCATCTTGGCCCATATCGCGTTTCGCTCATCAGCACTGAACTCGGCAAACACATGGCCACTGAGAACCAGCCCGCACGCCGTCTTTTCATCAGTGCGTGATTTACCCGGTGCCAGTAACTGCAGGGCGTGAACCGTATCCTGATCGATTTTCTTCATCAGACGGCGATGTGATCCGACCAGAGAGGACCAGAAGTCCAAAATGTGGTCCAAATAGGTTGCTATCTCCTGAGAGACGAAGAGTCCTCATTAGCTAGAAAAAAAGCAGTAACCTGAGCTGAAACTCACCTCAATGCAGCCCGAAGCGATCAATCGATGAAGCAGGCTGATTCTCATTCCGCTAGGCCAAAGTCCAGGAATCGTTAGCAGTCGGTCAAATGCATGTCGGAGACGACGATTCTTCTTATTGTCAAGTTGATCCAAGCGCTCTTGATTGTTGGGCGATAGTCTCACGAACCATCGCTCGCGAAAAGCTTCATTGCCCTCGCCCTCATACTGTCTGATCTTGCGATAGACTTCCCCATCGGTCGGCTTCTTCTGATTGGAATATTCATCCACCAACGCCGCTCTCAATTCTCGGTCGATGTCTTTTGGAACAGTCAGTATCAATCTATGGGAGCGCCCGGGTATATCACGTACCGTCTGTGTAGAGATCAACCGTCCACCAGCGATCCGCCGGAGGAAGTACCTCAACACCCGCTTGTACACGATGACGGCCATGGAGACCCCGAAGTTGCCCCGCCATAAATTCCAGTCGAGGAATTTGCCGGCCTTCGGTTGTCAGCAAGGCTTCCTGTGGAACATTCGCCTTCTGCAATGCGTCTGCGAGATTATGTCGGGACACGGTCGCTGGAACATGGTTTTGGACATCTAGGCGGCGACAACGATTCTTCCGGAAGATATTTCGTAGCCGGTCCAAGTTCTTAGGGTCCAGTTCCCGTGGTAAGGGAGGTTCGAATTGAATCTGGCAGATGCTGACTTTAGCTGCACCAATGTATTTGATTCGTCGTTCTGCTGCGAGCCGCACTTCTTGTTCGGTAAAGACGTGTCGAGCCATGGGGATAAATATGGAGTTGTGGTTCAGAATGACTTGGCTGCGCTGAGTCTGGGCTGAGCTGAGTGTGGCCTTGGATATATATCTATACTTATGGCTTCCATTACTGAGGTGGTTCAACGTTGACACTACGTTGCCTTTGCCGGTGAAGATGTGATCCAACACCCTAGTGTTCCACACGTACGAAATACACATTTAAACTGATCAGATTTTCTTTTGCGTTTCACGCTCCTCTTCCTGCTTTCGACTCTTTGGCCAAAATCCTTGCATTATGCGAAAACTCGGCGAAAAGAGAGTGACAAGAATCCAGGCCGCTCAGGTTGCATTACTCCCCCAGCCGCAAACCCGAACAGAAGTATCACCGGCAACTGACCTCAAGCCCGGCCCACCTCTCCATCTGGGACCCGCAGCTGAAAAGAGGTCCGCTACCTCCTCAACCTCAGAGCACGCCGGCAAGAAAACTCGATTGGTGCCTCAAAGCTCGCCTCGCCAGGAGACTATGCAGTGGCAGAGCATTATCGGTTCGGGCCTGACAGTCCGAGACGAATCTCCTTGGGGTATTTTGAGAAAGTACTACGATTGTGACCTAGCTGGCCCCGTCGCGGTATGCGTTCGATCTTCTGGAGACCGCGGTGTCTGGGCGGTGCGCCAGTATCCGATTGAGGACGCTGACAAGATACTGCGGATTCTCCGCTCTATGCGCCATGAGAACCTGGCCTCGATTCGGGAGTGTTTCCGCACTCCCGAGCTTCTGTACACACTGGGGGGATTTCGACCCTCTCGTTCTGGATCATATCGTCGCTTGTAAAGCCTTCCCAGACGAGCAGGAGCTGGCAGCCATAATGTCTCAGGTTCATTCCTCATTCCCCTCACCTATCTGCCAGATGGCCAAATGGCTGATTCCGTACAGTTCGTTGACGGGCTGTCATATCTCATGGCCAACAGTTTCTACCACACATCTCTGGATTGCTCTAGCGTCCTCGTGAATCTCAATGGGCATGTTAAAATCGGTGTGTTAATTTCAATGATACCTCCAAAGACAACCCTATCTAACCAGGCACGGCAGCACGGATCGATTGCTGTGTTATCCGGCAACAGGGCACAATTCAAGCCAGTGACTTGGCACCAGTCTCGAGAATCATGATGGAATTGATGCAGAAATATGTCAAGGAAGATGGGGCAGTAGGAATTGATAATCTCGACCGCTGGAGAAGCTGCCCGGCTGCGATCGAATTTCTCTGCGCAACGACCTCGGCAAGCACTTTTCAGGAGCTGAAAGAAGTTTGTTTCCCTCGGATTTTTTCCATAACGGTGCTTCCAAACGGTACTAATAATATCTAGCAACGACTGTTGACGGAAATTCCATGCCGCCCAGGGAATCTCATCGGACTTGCATGGTTCGCCTTGATCTCCGCCCGTACATTCTACTCGTACACGCCAGGGCCCATGAAGAACGATTAAAGCGGAAGTCAAATTTCCATACGGGCACTCCTACTTTGTCAGCCACAGCAGCAGTAATATGACCGATGAAAAAATTCAATGCATGGTACGGTAATCGACGATCTTTCTGTTCCTCACCGTTCAAGCTTTTGTTCTGTCTACTATTAGATAATACGCGTTTTGATTTTGATAGAAAAGAGTTGTGTTAATTGCGTCAACAATCAAGGTCTAGCCGCTGTTTTTCAGTGTAATGCTTGGCCCCGGTCATTCATAATGACCAAGTAGCTCATTTGAATTGGTTGACCAGGGAGATTCAGGGATCAAATCGGCAAGTTTGTCTGTCGTAATCGCATTTCAATTGCCCAAACATCACATTTTTACTACTTTAAGTGCGCAGAAGGCAACTCCAACTAGCATCATATGCTCGGGACTACTCATTGCGTTTGCTCCATGAGAACTCCCTATCATTGAATTACTCCGGCTGGTATTCCAGCTCCGAAAGCCTCACACCATGATGCAAAAAGCCCTTGACGGTTTTTCGGATCTGGTCTCTATACCTGCCTGCCGCTGAAACTAGAGATAAATTAGTATACGATAGAATAGAGACAGGCTGCAGTGGGGTCACTCACCCATCACCAAGGTCCGGCCTTGCTCATCGCGAATGTTCGGTAGCCTCTCGATTTGGTCCCCCGATGCCTCGAGCGAGACTATGTTGTCATAATCGGGTACACCTTGGTAAAAGCAGGCTCTTTCATGTTTTCCTATTGGCGTCTTATCATGAGCAAGCCCTCTTTCGACGTAGATTGAAATGCTGAGAATCTGTATACGGTTTTCCGTCAATATTAAAGAAAGTTTCCAATTTGAAGCCGGTGACTTACATAGCCTTTATCTATAATATCGTCCTCCAGGAGGGGGTTGAGCAGGTCCTCGGCTGCGCTGACCATTTCTAATTTGTTAGTGCTGCTGCTGGCTGACTGGAAACGGAAGGGTCTTCTCACCAATTGATTCTATCTGCCATACCAAATGCACCCGACGGACATGAAGTGTACAGGTATTATAACCATGTATCATCTTCTTCAGATACGGAATTGTTGCGGCGATCCCGAAACCACTCGCAACCAGTAGCACAGTTTCATACCCGTCAACAATCTCACTGGTACCGTGTGGTCCTGTGAACATGGCCAGGAATGCTACAGGACAGCCAGGAGCGCTAGCGGCAAGACTGAGCAGGTCTGATGTCATGCCACTGCGTGGCTGCACAAACAACTCAATCGTGTCATGTCTTCCGCGCGACCACGATGTGACTATGAAAGGGTGCGTTTGAAGCCACGACCAAAATCCAACTGACGGCATCCACAGGTTGATATACTGGCCCGCATCGATCTTGATAGATCGGGGCAGAACGATACGAATCTGGGCCGCTTTTCTGAGCTTAGGATGTGTAAGAGATCCTTCTGGAGTGAAAGATACAAAGGCCCGAGGAGCGCCGTGGCCCGAAAATAGCCCGTTCGTGTAACAGAAGTTGAGAATCTCCAGCACAGTAGTCAGGGCCAGAATTACCAGCGGCACGTAAAGGTACAATCTTGGCAAGCGACTCTGATCTGGGAGATGTTGCCACGTGCCATACACAAAGAGAGCTGTCAGGGCTTGGTGGCTTCGGAGAAATACTTCATAACACCGTCGGCGAAGCCAGGGGAGAGAAAGGAGGGCAAGAGCGGCTAAAGAGATTGATCCCTATCAGCGTTAGCCCTGAATTCATGACAGCGAGAAGGAAACTTACAATTAGGGTAGATATGTTACGTAATGCCCCAAGAGGAAAACTGAATCCCCGGCTCTGGCATTCTGCAACCACGTGAAAACACAGCAGAGCGACAGACATCCAACCTGTTACCTGATGAATCTTGCAGCAAGTACGCCAGGTGATACCCAGAAGGTCAGCAAGGTAACCGAGGTGAGTGGCCGAGAGGGGAAAAAAAAGGTTGATAAGAGCCAGCTCTCCAGCTCGGCGGCCAGCTTGGGCGACGGAGTGTGTATGGAAGAAAACCAGAGTGATATTGACCAGAGTGTAGGCAGAGTATATGAAAACATTCATCCGGGACCAGGGGCCCCAAATACGATGCCTGTGGATGAGAGCAGGAAGTGTGAGGTGCCGAGAGATCAGAACAGAGCAGGACTCGATCCAGCCAATCATAGTGGTTCGGGTCTGGATTAAGAAGAGAGCTAAAAAGCAACCTCCAACGGCGATCGCATAAATGGATGACACATTCATCCTCAGCGGGGTCTTCAATCACGATGGACCTGGAAGATCGGCATATGAGGGGAGAGTGGACCTTTTTAAATGAAAGGCATTAGCCACGGCATCGTCATGTCCCTATCAGCGATACCTTGCAGCAAAAAGAAAGCATCAGGAACATGAAGCAGAACACTTCAGAGAGCCTCGACTACGTGTTTCAGTGTCACAATTTTCCAGCTACTGCAGACATCAAAATTAATGAGCTGCCGTTGAGAGTGCTAGGAAGAGAGTGCGTCAGATAATGAAGGCTATTCAAAACTCACAAATATATCCCTTCGAACTCTGAATCAACCAATTAGGATCTTCAAGAGCCGATAATGAAATGGAAATGCCATAGAAATGAGGATTTTCTTTCCTTCTGTTCGATATATTGTGAGCCTCTTGGCTATTCTCAGCGATTCTGAGCGCACGACTGTATCTCCCACAATGACAAGTACATGCATAGCTAGCATTGAAAGGGTGCTGCATGGAAACATTCACTTAAATACGGAGGCCCATAACAAGCAGTATAAATAGAGCGGTGAATTGGAAGGGTGAGTGCAGTAAGTTCAACGGACGTTCGAAGAGAGTCCGCATTGTGTGTGCTCAAGCGGAGGCTGGGGTTCGGCTTGGCATTCTTGAACGTGCGAGTTGAGTGGCGGAATCCACACCCTTTGCTTCATAACCGTATTCAATACCTCTCACTGGCTAGGTTGACACTTGAACATGTGTTGCATGTCTATAGGCCGAATAAGTGCAGTCTGCTTCTGCATTTCTAGTCTCGGCATATACAAAAGTGTAGTTTTCACCCAGTCTAACTTCGTAAGAGGGCCACTCATTGCTCAATACTGATGGGGACAATATCATGATAGCACATAAATAGAAAGTTATATTTTCCCTGCTTCTTCCACATCATTCATCTTGAAAATACGTCTTTTTGATTCTTCACAGCTCTAGGAACGGGCTCGTGACTCGAGGAAGCGCGACTTAGATCCTGGGAATAGGATCGGAGGCATGCCGAATCACGGCATTGCTCCTCAGCCAGGGTATAAGTATTCAACGTGCAGTCATATCTACTACCATAATATCCCATCGGACTCTCGATTGGCATACACCCGCAAAGTTAGCCTGCGAAATGACCCCCGACAGATATGTCTCATCCACGGCCCTCGCCGCTGATTGCTGTTCCAGGTGCTACCGTAAGTCTACTATGCACAATAGAAATATTCCTACTAATTCTGAATAGCTTTTCTTGAAAATCCAAGACCACACCAAGCAAAAACACGCTTCTAAATAGGTATAGCCATCGTTGAAAAAATGTCAATAAAGACTGAAAATCCCATTGCCATGTACATACCAGAGTTATTAGATTGAGGAAGCACATCTAGCTCAATTTGTTTCATTTCGCTTTTCCCTTGGTTGTACCAGCTCTGTAAGTCGTCTTTCTAGCTACTATAGTATATGGGTCAACTAAGAATGAACTGAATCTTTAGGTCCTGTGAATCGATTCATTCCAATGAATTCTTTCCAATGATGAGTGTTATGTTGAAGCCTCAATTTCCCCAACGTTCTACCGTTCGTTGACCGTAACTTTTGATCATCAGGATACAGAATGGATGGATGGATGGATGGATGATTTCATTAACCCTGACCCCTCGCAAAAAGTTGGAACTCTGAACTGAGGTACAAGTGCGATGCCCCTTTTCTGTCCAGGGGCAGATATGACTACTTATATACCTAACGGGTGCCTTGATACTACCTCGCACAGCAGCTACCTTGTGTCACTCCTGTACCAGGATCTGGGATCCAACTCAAAATGAAATATGCAGGATACAACTACTATATATATCTCTTTGTAAGTACAGCAATATTCGAAATTGGCTTCCATGTTTTACACAGAGAAATGATCCCACGCCCCACCGCCAAGGCAATGCTGAAACCGCCTAGGCTAGATTCGGCTAGGCTGCAAATCATGCTTGTTTTGAACTGGAAGACGCGCGCGTCGCACGCATCGGCCCTGAAACGAAAGCCAGGGAGCTAGGAACACAGTAGGAAGGGACAAGTAGGAGTTGAATTGTGACATGAAGCGTACACGCGAAATGCAATCCAAACGAGCCAATCAAAATAACCTTGTTGATGACTAATACCCCGCATCACGAACCGGTAGTTAGGCTGGGATCCACAGCGGGTACGGAGTTACACTAAGAGACATTATAATAACGTATAAGTTTAGTTTATTTACCTGTGCACTATCCTGTTTTGAGTCCGAAGTTCTCTAACTAATCCCTTACCATCCGATGATTCTGCACGGAGTCAGCAGAGCTATCTTTTCTGTCGTAATGGTGACCTACCCAGAAAATGGCCAAGTCTCGGCCCGATCAGATGACGCATAGACGAATTTTGTCGACCAGTCAACATAGTAATAGCTGTGCCTTCAGAGCGAACGCGTTGGCTTCGCTTCTTTTATATTTGTATTTGTCCTCAACACTTGCCTTCAACGTTCTATCCCAGTGCGCACTGGGGGCTACAATCAAGTCATCTTCGGTCACTTTACCCACCGTTTTGCGGTTAAGTACCAGTTTCCAGGCGATTGTGTAGCAAATATAATGAGGAGGATACTCATCGTATTCATCGCCTTTCTCCCAATCAGCAAAGGGAAGGAAATTTAGCTTACTTGACTGTCGTCGATCTGTAGTACGATTCCGGGTAGGGCTAGGAGAGGACAGGAGAGAGGGTGTGCGACCAAGATAACCGGGAGTGGGGGCATATAGCGAGTCTTCGTCCCATGGATCATCTATCTGAGGCTGATAGGCATCGCCACCGGAATAACTATTGGTCATCGTATACGTCTTGTCAGGATGAGGGGTCGCCTAAAGCAGAGCCGGAAGTAGTTAGCCGCAGTCCATCGTCTCCAATAAGACACATAGTTAGAATAACAGTGGTGATCATTGCAGAAACCTTACTGACGAGCCTTGGTTATCAAAGCCGAGATCAACCACACCAGGCTCTCTGTTGTACAACGTTGGGAAGAAGCGAAGAGAAGTTGAGGACATATTGCAGGACCCAAGTTTGCTATGTTTGCATCGAACATTCCAGTCTGCCAAGCCCCTCAATTCTAAACTCGTGTATCTTTCATACTGGTATCAGGCAGCGGCTTGGTATTCTTACAGCGTAATTTCAGAACGGTATCTTTACGCAGTAATATTATTCAGCTTATCTGATCATGTGATTAGGGTTTGATATACCATAGCATATACCTCCGCCAAGGAAGGCAATAACGGACGTCACTGTAACGTCACGCTGCCAGGAATCGATATTTCGCGCCATATGAATTGGGAGGATGGATGACATGCTGGGAGGGGGAAAGGGGAGGGCACTCTTTCTGCGGGAATTATTTCTTGAGGGGAGTGTATGTTGAGGGAACTATTTTTGAGGGGGCTATTTTAGAACTGTAATTAAACACAAATACACAACCCACACTTGTTTTATACGCGTTTGGTATTATACCGTTCGAGATCGGAGCTTTGTTACAAGTATTCGGCTAGCCAAAATAGGATTGCGTATCATGTGATTAGGTTTGCAAAAGGCATCTCATATACATCCGTCACGGAAGGCAATAACGGACGGCACTGATCCCTTTCGTACAGGAACATCAATATCCCGTTGGTATACAACAAACAGGCTCGAATTCGTGCCGAACATGTAACTGTCTTGTGGTACCATATTCCTCCACCTCTGCCCAAAGACAAATCCACTCTGATATCTAAGAATTGCACCTGTAACTCAATTTCTATGATTTGCTGTTCATTTTGTTAGCCCCGCAAAGTACATTAGTGGAAATAGGCGTCACCGACATGGGACTCCCAAGCTTACAACTGGCACCAAAGTTCTTTCCAGCCACCGAAAAACCCACATTCCCCGCCGTAATCCGCACAGCAATCTTCAGAGTAGGGTTCCATTCGCGCACAAGTTCTATCATGGCCGGACTCCATCCTGGAACTCTCGACAAGCTCTTCGCCGTCTCGAATTTGACCGATGGAGTCCTGGCCAGTGACGCAAGAAAAAGGGGCTGTTCCCTTCCAATGACAACTCCTGTGCTGGTAGGTGCAAGAAGCAAGTGCGGTAGGAAGGACAAATCCAAGCATAGCCAATGGGAATTTCATGATGTCAAAAAGGTGATGCTCGGGGCTTTCTGCAGAGAGTGATCGTCCAGGTGTGAGAAATGTGAGTGGGCTGGGGAGTGGAAGAATAGAAAGATTGTGGTACTTGTACTGACTCGAAGTAGCAGCGATGATAACCAAGGACAACCCTTTAATTCTGGCTCAGCCAACTTCCTCAGATAGAATGTTTATGCGACGTCAAGGGAGCTCCCTTGACTGAAGTAACACAGTGCAGCAAGGTATTCAGAATGTTCGTGCAACGAGTGACCTAAACTGGCTCTGTTAATTTCTGCCCTCCCCGCCAATACCCTCGAGCGCTGTCCTTGCGTCATTGGCCTGAACAGTTGGACTTGACGTATTTCTGTGTTAAATCCCTTGATAGGCGAAGGTTGACTGCCTACCTACACTCTCGTGTAACCACTTGACTAAAAGAAAGGGAGACATTTTCAGCGCTTCCGGCCGACCCAGACAGCCCATAGCCATGGCCAATAGCAGCTGAGCCAGTGTCGGGACAGCCAACCAACCAGGTAATGTTGTGTTCCCTGATTACGCAAATCAGGCATGCTGTGCTACGCACGCAAAACGGTAACAGCTGTGTCAATCGCTATGACTTGGGCTAATTCTCAAGGAATGCACTCAAGTACTCATTATCAGTCTGTGCCTTGCTTCCGTGGCTTGGGCTTCCAGATAACAAAACACCAAGCCCAGCCGGCCACCACTGAAAGCGCTGCCCATAGGTACATATTCAGCCGCCCACCCTTACTACAGCTAACTTATTCTCTTCCTCATTTATTTCTTCTCTCAGTCATCTTTGTACTATCATGGTAGCAAACAGCATCGCTGCCGAGGCCTCCAAGGGCACAGAACCCTCTGCACCGAGCATGGAACAAGCTCCTGAACCCTCTGACTACAATGTTCAATACATCATGAGCGTGAACCTGCAGGAAGACATGGGGTCCGATATACCACTTAATGATAGACGACTTTCGTACTCGTTGGATGACTCCAGGGGAAAGGTCACGCCATCAAAAGGGGACATATTTGAACAAGAACGAGAAGACTACTGGTTGTTTTCCGTCCATGTGAATGAGGGAGAGATGGATTTTTTGATCGGAGGCGAGAATCCGGCGTACGCGACATGCGCTCCGAATTGGCGCAACATCTCAGACGAAAGAAAGCAGGGCGTCATTCTTCACGGTGACAGATCGGGGGTGTACAGGACGGGCGAATTTCGCTTTGAGAGAGAACGATTTGTCGCTGTTCGGGCTCCCAAGGCGACCAATCCAGCGATAACTGTATGGGGCAGGGGAAATTATACTGCCCTCAACTGGGTTGGGCTGTTCATCCAGTCGTCCGCTCCTGATACAAACGAATTTATTGCGGTAAGAACCAGCAGCAAGATACTCCCAAAGTACGCCGATAGGACTTTGGAGAAAATGCGGGGGACGGACGTGACCGGCCGATCGATCACGCTGTTTCCCAAGCAGCTCTTCGGGACCGATGGGGTAAACAGGGCTACATTCGGTAAATTTGTCACTGGTGACCCTCACAACAAGCTGGGACATGCACACTGGATTCAGAGCAAAGCAGGCGTAAGTACCTCTACTCACAAATATATACATATATATGTGTATACATATGATCGCTCTACATTTTATTGACTAAAGAACAAAAAAAGCCAAACGGCATTCTCAATAAATGCCCAGCATACACATGGAACGCAAACGGGAAAACGGTTATTGAGGAGATCATTAGGGAGGACGTGAAAGGAGATAATCCTGTTCGGCTGCCTATGTTCGACTACTCGAAGGGGTGTATGTTGCTTCCACGGGAACTAAGTGGCAAGAAAATTCTAATTCTCACATTCGGATCCTTGCTCGAGGCGGTTCTGGGCTTAGTCAGGGGCGATATCGCGAGTGTCATAAAGAGTATCACGGATTTCACTGACAAAGCTATTTCGGGCGCCGACCTGAATGGCGAAGGTATGGTCACGGCACTGGTGAAAATTGGGCAGGCGGTATGGGAAAAGAAGAAGAAAAAGATCAACACAGACGGCGTGGACGATCTTGTCACAAAGCTCAGCAGCCTCATTGACACAGATTTTGGTAGTTGCTAAGGGCCGCCTGCTTGGAAGTGCAAAATGATAGGCTCCAGTCTTTGTTTGGTTATGTATGTGTTGTGGGCAAGATTGCTATAGCCCCGGATAAAATGAGTTTGATGTTATTCAAAGGAAGATTAATTGTTCTTGTATCAAAGGGAATAAATTGGGCTATTATTTTCTCCAGCAGAAACTGCACAATCTCATTGTGTCCTAAAGATGCAGCCTCATGAGCATTTCCATACTCCCCACTTTAGGCGTTGGTCTCGGCTCCTTTCTCTAGCAGCAACTGCAAGATATTCTCATGACCATTCAGCGAGACTAAAATGACTGGCTAGGCTGCTGTAGTATTTGTCGATTTGATATCCTTTTCCCCATTAGAAAGTAAAAATTCAACCTCCCGCTCATGCCCGTTAAATTACAGGATGGATGGATGGATGGATGATTTCATTTACGCTGACCCCTCGCGAACGATATGCAGCATACAACAACTGTATAAATACATGATTTCTTCCATGAGATTGTACCACTTCTTAGACGAACTTGGAGCCTCGCCGGAGCCTGTGTTTGTTTCCACTTTGACCTGTGAAAAGGCTTGGGGTACTCCATTACCCCGTGTAATAGTGTCTCCCAACAGAGACGTGATGGGTTTGTAGAGTTGCCGGTACTGGGATTCGAACCCGAGAACCCCAGAAGTGCGGGTGGACCAACCCCGCACTTTCTGTATCAGGACCACTTTTCTGCAGGTTACAGGGCATAAACCACGCGCCCTGCCACCGAGCAACCCGGTTAAAGAAGGTGAGGATGCTGGGATTCGAACCCAGATTTCCGAAGAAATTTCCATGATAGCGACTCTAACCAACTGCGCCATCCACCCCCTTTAAATTACAGGATAGTTCGAAATCAGTTTCACCACTTACTCTTATAAAATCCTTCTCGAACCCTAAACCGAAACATGCTAATCAATTTAAGGCTTGGCTCGGTTTTAAGTATTGAAACGTATTGAAACGCAATATCACGTGATAGACTGTTCCTTTTTCAATTACTTATGATACTTCTACAAAAATACTGGCAGCTCGCGGGCCGTTTCCTTCTGCTTTCCCTAAATCGATCGGCAGCGATCTTCATTAAGTCGTAAGTTCAATCTCATTTCGTGTAGCGAGTACCAAGCCAATCTATTATAGGAAAGATTGCTTTAGGAAGTTAACATACAAAGCAGTAATGGCAGGGTAAACATATCATATTCAAATATCTAGCTTAATTAGGTATGCAGATTTAAGCTCTGCGTTTCCCATTGTAACAATGTTTCAGAATTAGATAAAGTAGTGGGATGGTTCAGACCGAGTGTTTGCTTCTGCTTGCTTAAGCAGACTCGTAGCAAATTGTTGGCTTCGGCATCGTGAGCTGAAGCTTTCCAGGTGAAAGCAAGATTAGCCATAATGTGCAGCGTGTCGGGATGGTTCTCGCCGAGCCTTAACTTGCTCGTCTTCATCACCTGCACCTGGAGCTGTTCGGCCTCCTCCCACCGGCCCTGGTTTCTAAACGTCGCCGCTAGGCTAGCCATGCTTGCCAGGGTGTCAGGATGGTCCTCGCCGAGCTTCGTCTTCCGAAACTCTATCACCTGCGCGTCAAGTTTCTCGGCCTCATTTAACCGTCCCTGACTCCTATATGTGGATGCTAGGTTTCCTAGGCTCATCAACGTCGAAGGATGAGCCTCGCCGAGCATTCGCCTGCTTATCTCTGTCACCTGTATTTGTAGCTTTTCGGCTTTCTCCCATCTGCCTTGGTTCCAATAAGTCAATGATAGATTGGCCATGCTCATCAGGGTGTCAGGGTGATTTTGGCCGAAATTTGTTTTGCGAATCTCCATCACCTGTATCTCCAGCTGCTCAGCCTCCTCCAACCTTCCCTGGCTCCGATATGTCAATGCTATATTGGCCATGCTCGTCAGTGTACTAGGATGGTCCCTCCCAAGCGTCGTCTTGCGAGTTTCCATTACCTGGACCTGGAGCTTCTCAGCCTCATTCCACCGACCTTGGCTCCAATACGTCAATGCTATATTGGCCATGCTCGTCAGTGTACTAGGATGGTCCCTCCTAAGCGTCGTCTTGCGAGTTTCCATCACCTGGACCTGGAGCTTCTCAGCCTCATTCCACCGACCTTGGCTCCAATACGTCAATGCTAGGTTGGCCATAGTTGATAGTATGCCCGGATAGTCCCCGCCGAGCTTCGTCTTGCTCGTCTCAATCACCTGAGCCTCAAGCTGCTCAGCTTTTCCCCACAATCCCTGGTTCCTATAAGTCGATGCTAGATTGGCCATGCTCGTCAGGGTATTAGGATGGTTCTCGCCAAGTTGAGACTTGCGAGTCTCCATCACCTGGACTTGGAGCTTCTCAGCCTGCTCCCATCGTCCCTGATTTCTGAACGTCAACGCTAAGCTAGCCATGCTTGCCAGGGTGTCGGGATGGCTCTCGCCGAGCTTCGTCTTCTAAGTCTTCATCACCTGGACCTGCAGCTCCTCTGCCTCCTTCCATCGGCCCTCCAAACGATACGCTATTGCCACCATCGCAGTGCTATCGAGGGTACGTTCGTCCTCTGCTCCAAAAAGCTTCAATCTCTGCTTTCTGGATTTACATGCCATTGCCTTGGATTCTGTAACATCCCCAATTTCCTGTGCGTACCAGGAGCCTCTGTAAAGCACAGCAGCCCATTTTTGTAGAGAAGCTTGTGATTTTGGTCGTTGTGATGCTGCCAATTTCACGTGTGGGAAAAGCGATCGACACTCTTCCCAGTTCTCATAGTCACCTGTCGGGAATCTAGCATATAAAGTTTCAATGAATCTTTCCTTCCACTCTTCACCCCGGCCATATGTTTTCAGCCATGCGCGCACCGTCAGCTGCACTAGCCGGTGCATCGTGAACATAGTGCTGTCTTCACCGGTATCAATGAATGAAAAGTCTCTGAGAGTTGCAATGTTGTCCTCGAAATCATGATATAGGTCAGAATTTGACGAAGTATCCGTATCCTCTTCACTAGAAATGATTGCAACTTCCTCTGGAGAACCCAGAATACTATAATTGGTTTTCCTAGCCTGAACCCGTAGTAAATACTCTGGAATCCCTTGCCGATCGAAGAAGCTCATAAGAGAGAGTAAGTCAGCGGCAGGCCGCTTGATTCGTCGGATGTAGGCAAACGATATTTGCCATGTAAGCAAAATCGAGTTCTTTGCTTCCCAGTCTCGGTGAATATGACCTGCCTCATGATTTAGAAGCATAGTAGCATGGTGGTCACTCTTTTGAAGCTTTTCTAGGTATTGAGATACCGAGCAGCGAGGGGAACGATGAATGATATAGCTAGCAGCTTGGACAATCGCGAGGGGCATATATTCAAGCTCCTCGACTAGCCGCATCATGTCCGGGCTCTGAGTATCTATGTCGAGCTTGTTGCTCAATAGAACTAGAGCTTCGACCATATTCATAGGTTGCACATCAATCAAATTCTTCGTATTTCCTGTTATTTTCAAGGCTACATCTTTGCTCCGGCTTGTGATTATAATGGAACCATTCAAGCTTTCGAGAAGGTACCTCAGCGGTGGCTGTGTAAAGGCATGGCTGTGAGCGTTTACTTGGGCCTCCGTACTCATCGCCGAAGGTCTGCGAAGGAGCTCGTCGTCATCTAGATTATCCAAAACAAGAACCCATTTTCCAATATTTTCATCTTGCAGCCAATTTGCGACAAGTTGAAAGATATTAGCGTTCCGGTCCTGACGCCCGGGAATTTTAGCTCGTTCGGCAAGGTCGCGTAAACTTTTCTCGCAGCGAGCCTTATTACTTGCATGAACCCAAAAGACCCAAGTTTTGGCCGATTGCTCTCAAACTCGATGGCAATACTCAATAGCAAGTCGTGTTTTCCTACCATGGCATAGAGTTAGCGTTGAAGCGACTACTCTGGACTGGTGTTGCCTGACCCCACGCCTCCAAGACCAACGAGAACTATTCTCGATCCCAGGACTGAAGATTTCTCGTGAATTCGATCAAGGAGTGTGTTGCGATAAACAAAGTCTGGGTCGTGCGAGAAGGGGACAGTCGAAAGTGGCTCTGGCTGGGGTTCTGGGAGCCCGCTATTAGTCAACTTTGACGCGCTTGGAATTGTTAAGCGGGTCGTTGGAAACTTACCTTGTCCAAGATTTATCGTCCCTTGATTGACCCCAACTTGGAGTCCACAACTTGCGTCGCCGAATGACACAGAAGCCATTCTCAACACGACATGGACACAGTGCTTGCGTTTTTTGAGAGAAACAAGGGGCTCGAACTCCAACTATCCGTGCTTCCTAATGCATCCCTCTTACCGCCCTTGTCTCCCTGAGCTTCAACTCTAGTCCAAGCTTCACTAACAAATCAAATACCCACACATCCCCCAACATCTTACCGGCAGCTTGATGTCCCAAGGAACTAGGATCCCGTTCACCAAACAAAGTAACCAAAGACATATGACCGCCAATAACAACAAGAATCAAGACCCTAACACTCCACGGCGGAGGGCCAGCAATATCATCTGCAACAGATGAAAGCGAAATGTATCTTCGGGTTCACAAACATTCCCACCCTCGAGACCATACATGCCTAATACAGAAGCTATTTTTATGTTGTAATTTACAATTGTACTGGAATACTGCCAAGATAGGGGCTCAGGGGCAGAGTAACTTCATTAGGTATAGAGTGTTTCGAAAGAGGGTTCGAGAGAGAATCTCTCTAAGTTAATGGTGAAACTGATTTCGATCCATCCTGTATGCCAGATTCAAGACACTCATTGTTGGTAGGAGCACCGAGCAAAGTGCTAAAGCAAGATAATTCTGTTCATCGTTGTTTTCGAAAGAAAAGTACAGATTGTCACTTCAGGAAAAGAACACCCTAGGCAATTTTTGTTGTAGCTCAGAGGTATTAATTGTCTTTTTCATTCTAGTGGGAAACATGAGGCTATATATACAGCGAGAAGATCAAGTTGATTGGAAATCAACTTGGTTCTTCGTATACATACTTCGGGATTAATTCCGATGGTTCGGCTTGGTTCCTGATCTGCACCAGCCTCATATCACAACAATGATTCAAGGTAACATAAAACTTTACGTGAACAAGGAACATGTATAGTGGACTCTACAATCAGGCTGAAGGGCATAACACAAAGCACCCCGGAGTATTATTGATTCTATCAATTATTTGGAGCAGGTCTTGGCTTCTTCGAGGACTCCCTCGAATACTAGTCTCTGACACCACGAAGAGGTGCCTGCAATCGCCAGAGGATCAGGACGAGGGCCGCGGCGCCACGGGTCGCCTAATGAGCGCAAATTTGATAACGCAGGGCTCAAGGCTGCATGGAAGCTCAAGATTATACAATCACAGGGCTCAAGGCTGTGAGGGAGCACATTTATACAACACAGGGCTCATTGGCTGTGAGGGAGCACATTTATACAACACAGGGCTCATTGGCTGTGAGGGAGCGCACTCTTACAATCGCAGGGCTCATTGCTGCGAGGGAGAACTTGTTGACGCAGCACTCTCCTGCGGAGAACTTGGTGACGCAGCGGTCTCCTGCGGAGAACTTGGTATCGCAGCGGTCTCCTGCGAGGCAAACTTGATGACGCGGAGCCCGCCTCGCGAGGCACACTTGATCACGCAGAGCCCGTCCTGCAAAAGACACCCCAAGGCTGCGAGGCCCGGAGTGTGAGGAGGAAAGTCCTACTTTTCTTTTCGACAGGAAAAGAGCGTCTTTTATGCTATTCGGAGTAGGGGTTTCGGCAGCGACCACTTGCGTACATTTTGCCGAGTCCAGAGATTTGACTTCAAATTCGCACCGGGCGACCCTAATTTCGTGGGTGTTGAGGCGGTTTATCAACGTTGAAATAAGAAATTTCAAGAGTTTGGAGTCGAGAGCGGGCGCAGTGGATGGATCCACCTGGAGCCGTGGTTGGCATGATGCGATGCGTGACAAATCATTTGCCTCATCAACATTGATTCACCTGGCTCAAACGGCCTGCAACGCACTTGGTATGAGGTTTAGACTGAAGTCGCATGCCATGGGCTAGTCGCCGTGGCGGCTTAATCTCTCGTGGCAGCAGAAGTCTGCCAATATTCGCTCGGACCGTAGCCAATCAATTTGCAAATCATTGGTCTCATCATTGCTCAACGATGTGAAACGGTTTTCACGCAGCTAATATGTAGAGTCGTTCCATGGAAGACTCGCCATGGCAGATCGCTTGCCTGCCCGCGGAATTTTTCGCCTGTAAAACTTTTGCTCTCGCCCCGTGAGAGAAAAATGATTTCCCTCAGCCTAGCCGATTTATTTTCCGTCGCAAGTCGCAGTCACTGCAACTCGTCATGCCGCCCAAATCTTTATTTCACTTGCCAGCACAGGATGACCAGGGTACTTCGTGTACCCACACCTATAAATCGACCGAGGTACCATCGATGAAGAGATGTCGGCGCCGACCCCGTCGTCGGAACATGAGTTCGTCGTGCCCCAATACAGTACAGACTCCGCCGCTGACCAGCATTCATGATCTCCACAATGCATCGCTAAAGCATCTTCGGATCTTCTCAAAATTGAATAATTTTATAAATGACTGTCGAAAGTCCTTGAAACGCTTTTTAAACATAGCCAGGGACTGAAAGCTAAGGGCAAGCTTTGGAAAGCGACTAGATTGCCTTCGCTAATTGCGATCGATAGAGTTTGTAGAGGTTTTGTTTCCCACACTAGGACCGCAAATGATGCTCATTCCTTTCCGAGCGCAACATATGATCCTCCAAGCCCTGCAACGCCACCGGTGAGCACTCCGCCTTCCATGCTAGAATCATGGCTTGCCATTCCTCCTGACTGACTATTCTAGCTATAACCTCTCCGCCTTCCACTAAGTAATGCTTCTAAACTATGACCGTGATCGCAGCAGCGATTTTCGCATTGCCATTGCTTGTTGTGCAACCTCCAGCGTCCTGATAGCCAATATTAAACCACACTTCGGATCAGATAGAGATTTAAGAACACAAATTACGATCAACAAGTTCAAAATTAGTACAGTATGTGAATCGTGTTTCAAAACTCGGGACCGTTATCCCGCCGCGCATGTAATTTGGCACCCTCGACCACGTCCTAACTAAGAGCGCATGGAAATCTCGACGATTGCCAGAATTGGCCTAGGCGAGTTTGGAGAGTTGCAAGCACCCCTCCCTTTACAGATTGATCCATTGATTTCTCTTCTAGGAGGCTTTCGACCCCATGCAGAATTCGCATGGTGTGGTGAGGTTTGTACCATCACTGGTCTGCCGACGGCGTTCCTTGCGCTTTCTGGACATCGATCTGGGTCTTGCATCAGTCACACGGCAATCCTGGCTGTAGGACCCCGAAATAATGAAAAAGGGTTTCGGATACTTACCTCTGTCGCCTAGTCGGTCGATTCTTTCCCTTCTGCTGTCCTGTGTTCAGCCCACTATTTCAGTTAGAAAGCGTACTTGTTGATAACGGGGTGTTGTAACATACCGTGGGATTAGTGCTTCAGCCTGATAATTCCAACTGGGTTGCTTTAGCTCCGACGACTGGCTCCTTTCAATGGACTCAGACCGAAATGTTGGACTCGGTCTGCTCTCAGGCTTTGCAGCTGGGGGAAGTGCGTGATGATGCTTTGTCGGGGTCGTCGTACGAGATGGGACCTCAGGCTTCGAAGAGTCTGCGTGTTCTGAAGTGCAGTTCTCGCCCTCCAAGCTATCATACCGATCGTTGTCACTTCTCAAAAGGTCGCTGGAGCAATTTTCGGAGAGTTTCTTGTTTTTGGCCATCTTTTGCGAATGGACTCTGACGCGGCTCAAGATGAGGGACTATCAAGAAAGAGGATTCTCAGAATTAAAAGTGAAAAGAAGAACTTGTTTGCTGCTTAAAACATAAACAGAGAGAATAGTATTGTTCTTCATGAATTCTAGCCCTTTTAAGTTGCCTAAGAATTGCCGGAGGCGGCGGGTTGAGTTTCAAGTGGAGCGTCGGTGACTGGAGAGGCTTTCAAATTTTCAAATGTTAAAGTTAGGTCGTCACCAGTGAATGATCCCCTGCGTATGCGTTTTACCAACGAAAACTTCCGCTCATAAACGCAAATCAACACCTCACTCATAAAAATACCGGTGGGAGAAATTACATAGCGTTCTAGTCTGATAACTGACATTGTACAGGATCCCCTCCCGCCCAAAGAGTTTCTGTGGTGAACCTTTCTGGCAAAAGACAGAAATGAATCGCCAATGCCAGCGTTCCATTGATCCGGAAAAATTACAATAAGACCATTCTAAGAATAATGTATGTATCGAGATTTTGTCATGGGAAATCCAGCATTACACTCTTGCATAAAGCTTCCAGTCCCCTTTCGAGCCTGTTCCATTCAATAAAATATCGGGATGAGCAACTGAAAAATTCCATGAGACGTATTTTGCAAGCGCGACTAGTATCAATATACCGTTTCATTATGCGGAATATTGGGAGCAAGGTAAAACGTAATTGATAGACTTTAACGGAGCAGCTTATTGTTATCAAAGAAACTCAGCAGCTTTCATCTTCCAATTAATCAATCTTGGTCATTGAAGATCTGGAATCATTTGCTATCTCAATTAAGATGAATTGCTGCCTTCAGGAAATCCGCGGTTTGCCTCGGAATTCGAAGGTTGTTAAGTGCAAATCTAATCTTAGGTGCAGTTTTCGATTTGATGCGAAAGACCAGATAATAGTCAATTCAACCACCGAGTGAAGAAACCTTTTTGCCCACAATGTGGACCCTCTTTCAAAAATGATAAAAAGATCTTATATAAAATAAGCGCTCAATCAACAAATATTGGTCTCAATACAGAGAAGTGAGATATGAGGGTCTCATTGAGTTGGTTGGGTACCGAACTCCAGTCTCTTTTGCTCCGAGTAGTTCTCTGGCCAAGAAGATGCGACCACATCTTCGAAAACTGGGTACTCTTTAATTAATGGCTGGATGGATAGTCCTGGGCAGCTATGCTAAGCTACTTGAACTCGTTCCATATTCCCTGGGCCGCGTGTGGAGGAGCTTCTGAAGGGACAGTAGCGTACGCTGTCGTGACCAACTGGAATCGTCCGGTATACATAATGAGTCCCTGGATAAGGGGCACGAGGAATTGAGTATATGCGGGAAAAAGAGGTTAAGGTTTGTTATTAAGGGAGTCATGTAGCATTAGAAAGAAGAATAAAAGATAGCCAATTGAGTAGAGGTTTGGTAACGGATGCTGTTCGGCTGTTCCAACCGTATCTCGAATGAATAATTCAACAAGAACTGCGACGTTGACATCGAATATTTCTTGGTTGTTCACGAGTCGCGTCCTCAACCCGAAAGGCTTTGACCCATTTATGAATCGGTTTTCGAAGCCCTGGTCGACTGGTCCGCACCCGCTTTTGACTCCTGTAAATCCTGGCCCTAGCGACCCGCGATCTAAGTGACCGAAGATCATGCTTGGAGCGTTCTCCCTGCAATACATGCCTTCCACGGCCAGACACACGGTCTCTGTTATCAGGGGTCTTCTGGTCCGAGATACAGGGTTGTTGCGCTCCATCGCATGTACAGTTCTTGTTTTCATCCCTATCGGTATCTCCAGAGTCGTCCTCATCTTCACTATCCTCCTCCATATGAGCCATCGCGTTTCTGTTTACAGGTTTAAATCAGCGATCATTTCACGCATCTTAGGCATGGAGTTCCACACGAAAACTCTATGAGTGAAATACTTACCCTTCCGGTAGAGCAGATCGATTCATCATTCTGGGCTGACGAACGGAAAGCGCTTTTCGCAGGCAAGCCATGCTGGCTCGCTCCTGCCTGCAATGAACGGTAGTCCCATAGTAGTCCACGGCAGCCGGTTCCTTTGGGATTGAATACCCCTTTACCAAAAGCTTAGATGTACCCAACACAGCATTATTTCTCCCCAGGCCTTTGGAAACATGCGGTCTGGGAAGGTGGACTCCGTACCGTCAAGGATCCAGAATATGCAAGTGTGTAACAGTTCGGAATCGCCAGCCGAGGAACAATTCGGCAAACACAGAGGAATGTGGGGCAGACAACTAGCCGCAGCGGGCAGAGAGAAGCGAGGCAAATGTTTCTATCGATAGACAAAATGGAATTAGCTTACTCTTCTTTTCATCATGTTCAAGTTAGTTGTGGAGTTTGATTGAATGTGCTAAATGCACCATGACGCTTTGGGAATTTTCAAAGATCGAACGTCTGTACGAGAACAAGCGGTACATACTGTAGCAGGATGAGGTGGCGTTTTATGACCATTCGAGGTGGCGGAATCCGGCGAGGGCTTGGTGTTCAAGGCCACTCGGTTGGCATGACATGGGGTCTTTCTGAGTATGTTGGTGGGTTGGCTGTCATCTCTGGATAGAGAGTTATGGCTATGGCATAGAGACTGTGACACCAGCCTAACGTGGTATATCAGCAAGAGAAGGAAGGATAAAATGACAGAAGAAATACATACCACCTTCTCGAGCCGCTAGATGGTATCACGTTCATGTTCATCAATGACGTCTCTAATTTCATGTAAGGAACGGCTTCCTCGATTACTGGGCGTGCAGGTGTTAATCAAGTTAAAAACGTTCTTCAAATGTTTCTCCCCAAATCATAGGAAAATCGGCGATGAATGTAGCGGTTATTACTTCGATACATTGATATGTTGATCTTTTTAACGATTTTGTGCGCGAGTACTGCTAGCTAAGGAGAATAATTGTAACTCAGCCGTCACGCCTAGAAGAGAGGTCACCAATTTCCCGCCTCGCGCGGTCCCCGAACTTTTCATTGCGGCTTTAGAGTAGGTTTGATTCAAAAAATTACGATGTATTGAAAACCGTCCGTAATCACCTGGTATCTTTACATTCCCAGAAACCGCATTGTGGAGCCCGATGATCCTTGCGCAATTTGAATGCAGCCGAATAAACCCATCAATCCAGTCCCAGCCAACCTACAGATCTAGACCTCCGACGATGAGCGCCATCCGTATACCGAGAGAAGTGACTACATTATTCCTGGGAGCTGCGCTGGAGGCTCAGGGGCTCAGACGGCTGGTGATTGGCAAGCCACTCCGGTCGCACAGGGCCAGCGATCATGCAAATGATGCATAGCGCCTGCAGATTGGTATATCTATGACCCCGTCGCCTGGCTCTGGTGATTTATTTTCAATTTTCTTCGATCAAGATGAACGGTATTTCGCAGGCTAGCTATGGCAGCCAGAAAGGTTTATTCCATCCCTATCACCACAGTCACAAGCTGTTATTCCGTTACTAACTGAGATGACCCTACAGCCATCCACAAAGCACCTTCTTCATCCTTTAGCACTGCATCTACACAGCACGAGGTCTCCATGAATGATCCAAGCGATGATGCCGACCGAGAGATAGAAAAGCTTCAAGCAAAAAGGCGAGATTGGCGCAGGAACGAATTCCAACAACTCCTCAATCATGAGACAGACAAACATCGACTGCAATGTTTTGATCTCGCTCCTAATAGTAGCTCTGCGTCCGGAGAACACAGCACTTCTGTCAGCGCAGAAACTCCCATACCACGTGAAAAGCTTTGGGAAACAGGCTTGGATGATATCTTGAACAAAGGCCCTTCCAAGGTTGCTTCTGAGCTCTCCCAAAGAAGCCTCGAGAAATTAAAGCAGATCGTTTTTGGCAACTCCGTTCGAAAAGCTTTGGGCTTATCCTCTGACCAGATCAAGACATTGTTTTGGACATATGAAGTTCTTAACGCCAAGCTTTATTATGATTTGATCAAGTCCCCGCAGCATCTGAATCGATTACAAGATCTCAAACAGGTAATTCATGTTTACTGTCTGCGCGGCTTATCAATGGACTTTCTAATCATGACTAGAGCCTGGAAAGGTTGAAAAGCGACCCTCTCATCCACGCCACCATCGAATATACTTGGCAAGAGGCTGCCCGAGCAGTACTGCAATGCCCGGTACATGAGGGCCTCAATGGTAGCGGAGTAGGTGGATTGGCTTCCAGGTTAGAAGTAATTCTCGACAAATTCATAACCCGACCCCTCCAGGAGGTCCTTGAGAGAGCCGATTCGGCAGAAAGAATACTGCAGGACTTGCAGGTTCTGAGAATTCGCTTGCGCGATTCTTTGAGCCCCCTTGAGGCAGACTGGAGCTCGCCACTCAACAACAGAAATGAATTTCTGGAGCAGTTGCGATGGAACGACGTTCCGGCTCTTGTGCGCCTCATATCACGCAAAGACATGGGTTTATTTAGAGAGTATGTGCCTATCGTCTTCACCAAAGATGGAGCTCAAGCGCGTTCCATCTTGAGCTCCCGGTGGAATCAGCTGATGGTGGAGGTGAAAGAGTGCATGGCTGCTGAGATTGGGCTGGAATCTAAAATTGATGGTCTTGCTCAGGTATGCTGGAACCGTCTCAATTTCAATTTCAACTCTGACAGCCCCTTTTAGGCCCTCCACGATATTCGCAATTACTATTCCTTGACGGCTGTTGTACAAGGTATACAGGCGAGCGGCCTAAGCACAGCGTGCTCACGTAAATACGGCAAGCTCATTGACCCTACTGGTGGCTATGAAGCCTATTGTAGCGGCATGGGCGGGAGCCATGCGTTGCATTTTCTTTTACCTGCATTGTCCGCATTTACGCGGAAAGATTTGACTTACGCAGAAGTGGTTACAAGGGATCTTTCACTTTACATCGAAACTCATCGTTGTCCAGAGGATCCGCCCATTAGATTTAGTTTCTTGGCTATATTTACTGCATGCTTCAGATGCTAGAATAGCTCAATCACACATCCATGCATTCGCAGGCATAACTGCGTTTGTTTCACTGACACACAAATAACGACCCATCTCGATTAAATAATAGCCTGCTCCTCGGCAGCGGTAAATTCCGGCGCAACAAACCTAGGTCGTGTATGATTAGTGTTGAGCTTGCATCTTTCTTCCTTGTGGTAATACCTTTTCTTTGTTTTGAACACATAGTCAGTCTTCAAATATCGTCTATTGGTCCAGCGCCCCGGTTTATCGCTTCCTGGGGGCAACTCTTCGATCTGGGGGAGCCCCATTGCTTTGAGGTAGGCAGAAAGGAAGACTGCCGGGGTCTTCGACGACAGGCCCATATGTGTTTGATCGTTCATTTCCCAGCAATGGGCATCAAAGTCGGTCATCTTGTTGAAATACTCCAAATCCTGGTCAACACATTCGGGACAAACGTGTGCCATTCCGGAAGACAGAGCAATTCGCAGATAAATCAGGATCTTAGATTCCAAAGGGTCGTTTGCCTGGGAGGCAGTTTTCTCGACGACGACGTCTCTTGTAAAAGCAGCAAATCGTTCGCGGGGCAGCTCGAGTCCTGGCTCCTTATCTGTTGGTTTCCACCCGATGATTCTCCCATAGCTACGCCGGAATTCAGATTCCTCTCTCTCTGAAATTCCTTTGTGATCCGCGGTGTCCTTCAGTGACTTGAGGTGAATTTTCAAGTCACTCATTCGGGAGTATGACTTGAAACATGCTGGACAAACGTAGCTTTTGTCCGCCTTTTTCAACATGCCTTTCAATATGAAAGCCTTTTTTTCGTTGCTCGACATGGGGGGAAGACAAGAAAAGAATAACTGGGTAATGATAAAAATACTATTTTGTTAATGCGGAAGACAGGTTATTAGAGGCCTGGGAGTATATTGTCAAGTTAAAGAACACGTTCTCTATTGGGCTTGTAACAACGCATGGCCTTCATTAAGCCAGTGGATACACTACGTTTACATCGAGTTTTCTTATTCCTCACAAGGGAACTGAAATGGTTTCGAACTGTCGCAATTTGGCTGTGACAATTTGAGAGAATATTGCGGGTGGTGCAGCATCATTTTCCGCGATCTAAGAGGAGAGACGCAGCGAAATGCATGTTGGGTAAAATAATCCTAGATTTTGCTGCTAACAGATTTTAGCAACCTTTGTCAAGGTTGAGTACTACATTCCTCTCTTATGAGAAATCCTGAGTCGTTTCCTTGGCCGTCACCAGGCACTTTCTGCTTGGCTAACATATCTTTCTCCAGCTGGGACAAGGAGCAAAAAAAGCGACGCAGAAAATGAGTTTCGAAATGTGCAACACGACTGGCTCACAAGTCTCATGAAGAATTTGTAATTCTAGCCATTGGAAGCGTAGCCAGACTCAGAGCTGCGATTCGGAAGCCTCCAACCACGAGTCACATTACACCATTGTCATTCTTCTCTGAGCCCGACCATTTCATCTCCATCACCCTTCACTCGGCTAAGGGTCTCCTCCGCCACGACTGCATAATACCTCCCAAAGCCTCGGAAAAACCATCCAAAGGCCTTGCAGTGCTGACTATTAGTCCAAGAGCGACGTATTCTCTGGATCGCTTCTGCACTTTCAACACACTTAGCTGCGTAACACCGAGTATGTGGCGAGGTGTCTCCATGAAGATACTTCTCAAGGAATGCTATATAAACACAGAGAAGGAGATAGTGGAGCGTATATTGCAGGATGTCCAGTTGCACAACCCGAACTTCAAATTGTGGATCAGAAGCATTGAGCTCACTAGAGAACTCGGCGAAAGATGATTCGATGTAAGACAGCTGACCAACAAGGCCGAGTAGGCTCCATGCTGAGAAGAGGCCGTACCGTGTATTGTACATAATGTTGTCTGACACTTCGAGTAGCTTGAAATAAAACATGGTAAATTGATCTTCCAATGGCGAAGGTTTCTATGAGTGCATTGTCAGCCTAGAAATTACAATAGAATCATGGCAGTGGGCACTGACCAAATACCCTTTACTTCGGAAGAATTCTTGCTCGAGGGTATTGCCATGCACCTGCTGGTTCATGGAGAACAGCATTTTGAGCCTCAACCAGATATTCCGATATTCTTCGCAGGTTTGGGACCGATCGCAGCACGGCTCACAGTCTATCACGTCCGCCATATTACAAGCCATCTCAAGATCCACCGATACGTCATTACCGCGATGAAGTCGACCGTAAATGATGAGTATCATCGCCTTCAGTGCCGTCTTTGATGGTTGAAAAGGAGGATTGTCTACCAATAACGAATCCCAAGCAGCCTTTTCATATCGCTTTGATAGGACGCTAGAAGGGGAAATTCTGCCTGGGTATTCCTCTGCTTGGCATGCGAGTGCCAGGACGGCGAAAAGTAGGGATAGCCAGGAAAGAGGCGCGACATCGGGATGTTGATGGAAAATCAGATATTCCCTCTCAAAATCTGCATGAGACAAAATGCAGAATAGCTGGTTATCCATTAGCAGAAGAAATCATCGTCGGTCAGGAATACGAAACTGGAGAAACCAATGCAAAATATCGCCTTTATAAGTTCTCGGTCATTTCCCAGCAGGGCAAAGCCTTGAGCGGCTGCGCGAATACGACATCTTCGCGATCTAGACTTGTATCGAAATCATCGTCGGTGCCGCTGAAGTCTAAACTGGGAGTCGAGCTCAGATCGGAAAGGATGCTCGTATTATCTCCGGGCGAAAGCCGGTCAGTGGCATCACACGGTTCCTCTTCGGCAGGCAACTGTCCAGTTCTTTCACAATTGTCCTGGACTACTGGTGACACTACCTCCACGAAACTCTCTGCCTCCTGACATGGATATTCACATGCGTCTCCAATCTTGCGAGACGTACATGTTGCACAAGGAGGGCCTTTACCCTGGCAACGAATTTTCTGTCGCCGACACGGCAGGCACGCAACTTTCCTCGCTCTGGAAAGCAGAGGCCTGGCTCTTTTGTCAGATTGGCGTGGTGTGTGGCTGTGCATTTCTTCAAGTCACGAGTATCAGCGAATAAACAGTCGACCGGGAGCAATTTTCCAATTCTGGACCTAGGCCACCGGAGCTTTATAATACAACGAACTTAGCGTATCTCTAGCCTTTTTGCCGAGATCAAAATAGAGTAAAGGAATTTGTTTTCTATGAGATCCGATTCCTCCATATATTTTTATTTTCTATTTTCAGGGGTGGGGCCCGAGTATCGTTCATTGCTGGTTTAGCCTGAAAAACTCCAGGTAGCTCAGCTAAGCTTCCCTGTTTAGTCACACAGCCAGGGGCAAATAGTCGCAACGCCGTGACCCTCCAGATTCCAGGAAGCACTAGCTGAATATCTTGCAGCCGCACCTCGACCCGAGACATGACTGGTGTAGCCTCATACTTATCAGCCGTGCGTGAGACCATGTGATAGTTTTCTCCAAGCCCCATAGCAAGCTGAATAAAGTATCCTTCATCGGTACCACCGACTTCTGGCCTGCTCAACCTTCTGTGCATGATATGTACGAGGTATCTTAGGTCCTCCTTGCAATGGATATCATGATCCGGCATTTTTATAAGCACGAGAAAAACCTGTGCTGGCGAGAAGTCGGTCCGCCGGATACCCAACGTACGTTGACATTGGGTATGAAAGCCCGATTTAGGCCACACAGAGAATTTACCACAGGTTTCAATCACATCAAAGCAAAGACTTTTCCATTATTAGCTACATTGGTGAGTTGACACAGAATGGTCATACCTGCTGTATATACACAATGCGGGTGGATAGACTTTTACTTCCGACGCGCGTTGCATGGTTTTAGTGACTGGGCAAAAAATGATATTCGTTGCAATGAGCTTCGTAGATGGGGACTCGGTTGCTTTATACTGTAGCAATCTCTATATAGAGAATTGATCTTCGTGGGCTGCTGATCAATGCCCACTTACGGCGAATGTATCTACAGAATTAGCACAAAATATCCTTCCCCCGAATTCTACGATGTGCAACGGACTAGAATTTGTTCATATTCAAATGGTTTGGGGAAAATTTCATCATTCCCAAGATCTGTGTAAGCTACTTGCTATGAATAGATCTACCAGAAAGCCAACAAAAGTATTGGTGGCGCGTAGTTACAGGAAATCGCAGTTCGCAAATTCAATTCTTCATGTCTTTGCTCCTCATACTGTATCCCGCAGAACGAGCTTCGGGGTTAATTGACACCAAAGCGGTAACAACCCGCGATCAAACCCCGAGTTCAAAATTGTCGCCCCTAACTCAAACAGTTACCAAATTCATCCAGCTGGTTCGTCGAATCAGATGCTATTTTCCATCGCCCTGCAGTGGCAGCTCGGGCAGAGGGTACTCCATGCAAAGGTCATCTTTCTTCAGCCACGAGAAAAAGTCCAGGAGAACATCTTTGTTGCTTTGCATCATGGTAAGTCCTGCTTTTCTTGTATCGCTTGGGTCGTAAATCACGGAGTTTCGAACTTGCTGTTCTGTGGCCCAAACGTAGTCGAGGTGTTCGTCGTCCCTCAGCCGGATTGGTTTTTCATCCGGACCACGAGGTCCGTCGTGTTCATCGGACCACAAACGTCGACAGTTGGTTTTCTCGCTAGTCTCTGCAATGACCAAATATTTTGCCATCAAAACATCTTTATAAGGGAATGTAACACAGTAGACCCGATTGGAAGCCGCCCAGAGCACCAATCCAGTTTCCTCGGCAGTCTCGCGTACCGTGGTTCCCAAAATGCTCCTGTCCTCCGGCAGTGCACCACCGCCAGGGCCCTCCCATGTACCAGGGAAAGAATTCATTTTCGGCTCTCCATCGTCATCTCTCCCGTTGGGAGAGCGTTGGCAAAGTAGGACGTGTGGAGAAGATGGATCATCCGGACGGAAGCTAAGTATTATGGCTCCACCACTGACCCTCTCGATGTTGTTGCTTTTGGCAAGGAGCGCGGAAAGGGAAACATCCACTTCTTCGATAGATAGGATTGTATAAGACATGATGGGTGAAAGTTCTTTTGAACAAATTTTGGAACCACCCAAGCGATATATATATTCTGGAAGCGTTCGGAATAAAGTGTGATCCGACAGCGGAGGGCTTCTCGGTCTGCAAAGGTGATGTTTTAAGACCTTTAGGGCCTCTGGATCAAGCGACTGATGATCACAAGGATAAAATTGTATTTGGAGAGCAAAATGACAATACAAAAACATTAATTACGCCGCATTGCGGGGGCTGACTGGGGAACACCTGCTCCTGCAAACATCAAGCCCTGCATCGCTAGTCACCGACGATCGCCATGCCTAGGCTTGTGATTGTGGGGCTCAAGAGATCGTAACTAATCGCCCGAAGCCAGTAACAGGTCATACTCCAAATTCTTGGGTCGAATCCACTTCCAGATAGTTAGGACCAATCACTGACTCGCCTCTTGGCTTACTCACCTTGTTTCCATTTCAAGACGAACTCCAGCCGGAAACACTCATGGAAGGAGTACGCGCCCTTTCGACCCCTACCCAAAGGCAATTCTTCCTCCGGTACTGTTGCCTTGAGGGCAGTAAAATAATGAGGAAGAAACAATTCGCAATTTGGACCCTTGTAGGCGAGGCCCGTGTGGACATCATCCTTCCGTTGGTCGCAATGGTAATAAAACGCCTTTGTAGTGCTGCAGAGAACCAAACAGAGAGGACATACATAATCCTTTTTAGCATTCCTAACAAGTTCCCACACAATTGCAAGACTCTTCTCCGGGGTGTTGAGTTTGACCTCGCCCTTTTTTTCCAGGACAAAATCGATTTCGAAGAAGGTGTAGAATGGCCGACGTCCAGATCGTCGTTCCGTCTCATTAAATTTGATCGGATAATCATCCTTTGAGATGGTTTCCCAGCCCATAGCTGTTCTATAACTATCCAGAAACAGGCTGAAATTTCCCTGTCTCTTGGACAATCCGTTGTGGACGTTGTCTTGGCCCTTCATAGTGTCGAAATGCTTGTATAGCACATCCTGATCGTGAAACCCCAGATCACATGCAACGCAGACGAGCCCCAGTCCTGAGCTCTTTGCTACCTCATTTAGGACACAGTACTCTCTCAGGGTATCGTACATCTTGGAATCGTGGCAATGGTCAGCGAGTTTCAGAATGGAATAGGAGTTGGTATATTCCTCTTAGGCGTTGAGAGATGCCTATCGAGCTGATTGTATTGTACCTAGATCTAGGAGAACTAGGACGAGATCCTCTTCATATATCAGATCAAACCCGCATGTTTACTGTAGATATCGTGCCAAAAGCGTATAAAATCGAGATTCGTTCGTTCGTGCCGTGCAAAAAAAATCTGATTGAGATTGTGTACCTGGCCAATTATCAAATAAAATCATTCCCGAAAGCTTTTGATTGGTTTTGTTATGAGGAATTCTACTACACAGTGGGTTTCGCTTGAGCCTAGAGGCTATCGGTGAGCTTTTGTTGTCTTGAAATAGTATCCAGGATGGGAACGTGGCCCAGTGAGATAAACGGCCAAGCAGATCTGATGCAGCAGAATACCGAACATGTATTTCATTTATTTGAAGTTTGAAGTTAGGGGATCTGTCAATAAATTCAGTGCCTGAGCTGTGGAATTTTTCAAAGCAATGCTCTGGCTAGAAAGAAATCTAGTTTTCCACCATTCTGCGGAGAAAGATTCCTGGAATAGACACCTTTTTCACGGGCCATCGGTTTATTGGCTTGATCTGTTGCATCTCATATTCTAAAAATACATGCTATTCTGCGACAGCTGACTCACAGCTTGTAAAGATTCGCTAGTTGTCTAGGTCGCTACCCTATCGAAGGACAGCCAATGGGCCGCATCTAACCTGCCACCACGGATTGCAAATTTCCGAAGAAAGTCTTGACCATGCCCGGGATATGGGAGAGGGAAGCTGTTCGCCAAAAGCCAGTCCAAAGTGGAATCGGGGTCCGGGTGACAGAGAAGGAAATCCTGCGGGGGTTGGCAATTGTTCGTAAAAAGCCAGTCAAAAAGAAGTGCTGCATCCGCGTGATAGAGGATGATCTCAAGCCAAAGAGAGGAATCTTTATCCACCACATCAGAAAGATCTATACCTCTCTGATACATGCGAGAGGCCAGGTTCATGCTTGCAAATCGGCAAATTTTGCGGATCTCTCTTTCCTGGAGAATCTCTCCTAGGTCCAAAGGTATTTGGTCAACCTTGTCCCAACACATCCAGAAGACAACCGAGTCCGTCGCCGCTAGTTGAAGAATTGAGCTGCCATCCCACTCTTCTGCCACCGACGCAGGGGCTAGAAGATCTATTGGACTTATCGTGGATATCATAGATTTCACCGTTTCAATCGCATTTTTCTTGAAGGCAAGAAGGACCAGGCTATGTCCAAAGCTGTTGTAGTAGCATGACCGAATAATGCCTTGTCGGATCAAAAAGTGAAAGGAATCCGGAGACCCAGAGACGCAACGCGAAGCGACATCGGGATGCTCGTGCTCAATTTGCAGGCAGTCCTGACTTTCCACGGCCTCGTCAAAGTCAGGAAAAAGTTTACAATGGGCGAGAGCAGACCGACGAGCCCAGTCGCTTTGTAAAAGATTTTCCAACTCAAAGCGCAGATAGGGATCAGCCTGCTTGTAGAATTTCTGGATCTCATCTAGTGCTTGCTTTGAATTTGATGTGTCGGAGCAGAATAGGCAGGTAATTTTTGACATAAACCACTCGTAGCTGTAGTCGCCATTCTCAATTGGAACGCTTTTCACGTCGACGGGTTGACCGATAGCCTCCATGGAGGGGTAAAAGGTACAGAGCACAGAGGCGGTAGAAGGGATTTCATCATATCTGATCCACTGGGAGGCCATTTCTATTTAAGTAATGGCTGATCTAGCTCACATTGCCCAATTAAGAAGTTGATTTATGTCTCTGAATCACATGAAAGGCCGGGCACCCTGCGGAAATACTCATACACACAGGACTATTCACCGTCACCACTGTTTTCTCGACTTGAATTTCCCCACCGAAAATATTTGCTGTCTCCGATACTTTGACTTCGTGTGTTATATCCCCATCTCGTGCAAGAAACCATTGTTGGACTTTCTGATTTATCGTCTCACTCTTGAAATAGATGGCCCAGTCTGATGCATTGTTGATCTAGACGTTTTAGTCAAAGAAGATCACCCAAGGGGCATTTCATTACATACCAGAAAAATTTTCAGCTGCCCGAGAGCAAGCCTTGTTGAAATGAACATTATAGAGATGCTCATTATTCTGTTTGTAGATACGTATCGGATGGTAATAGCAGTGGCAGGGAAATGATGGATGGAACTGTTTATATTTAAAGGAGCGCTCTATGAGATCTTCAGTCTTGGTAAATTGGAAACCAAATTTTAATCGGAAGCACACCAAGCCATAACTTGCTTTCTGACCAGGTGTGAAGAATAGAGGGGCCTGGGCAACCCACCGTTTCAAATGGGGAAAGCTTCAGGTACAGAAAGGTGGCCCAAGACTATAATCTCAAATATACATCCAATTCTACGCTAACTGGAAATGAACTTACACTTTCAAGCCCCAGAACCAATCTATGAGTTTGCTATAACTCTCAACCTTGATGCAAATGTAATAGAAAGAATATTGATAGGCTTTGGAATTTCGCTGCCATAGACCCGTCAAACTACCGTTATGGCCAAAATAGCATTTATGGAAATTGCCAACCCTCAATGGGTTATCTGATTTATTGATCAAAAGCTGGGATTTCATTTCGCGACAAAAAATTAGTGTGATTCCAAGGTAACAGCTCTTTCTCGGGGGAACGGAGGCGATGATCTAGTTCTGGGGACCATGATTCGTTGCTTCCAATTCCATTGTCTGTCGCTCAAGCTCCTGAATACGTCGGTCCTTTTCCATGATAATGTCGCGGAGAGAGTCTGCCTCCATTTGTAGAATATTGTCATGAGAAAGGCATGTAGCTGGGTCGCGAACGCCGTGCGGTCCGAGAGAAGCGTTCTTTTGGGTACTAGGCTCGGCAGATATTCTTTCCCGTAATTCGAGGTAGCTGTTGGCCTCCGATTTATGCATACGCCGTATATGCTCTCGCAAGTTCTCGGTTCTCGCGAAAGGCTCAGAAATATGGCGACGACATCCCTCAGATGGACAAAATTTAGAATACCTAGGCTTTCTGCCGCTGTCGTGGACTTCTCGTTGATGCCGCAGATAGTCACCACTCGAGACGAACGCTAGCTTTTCCTCACAGCCGGACTCGAAACATTTGTAAGGTCGCTCATGTCTGTCCATATGTTTGCTGATTCAAGTGTCAGTTCCGAAGGCTGGGATCCTTTCGAGGCATCACAACACATACTTCCATTGAGATGGAAGACGAAATGTGGGTTGATCATCTTGGCAGTCAGCATGCTCACAGATAATGTTTCCATCGTCGTTTCGTGGAGGTTCTCGGTTTCGTCTAACGGTGATGGCACGGCGATGGTGATTCGCCTCCGGGAATATTGGGTCGTTCATTTGAAGCTCCAACAAAAGTAGAGTTAATCTTGAGATGCGGGGATGATTTCGTCGTTCAAAACTCAACCGTATTGTTTTTGCTGTAGAGGGGGACACTGGTCTTATTACTCGAGGATTCTCGAGCCTGTGAAGATGAGACTCCAACGCGTTGGCTCCTTAAAACACAAAGACTGGCTTAGTGTATATGAATGTATTAGAAAGAAGCAAAGCTATTTTACTAAATTTTCTTGTAGCCCCTTTCTGAGTTTTTATTCTCCAAGTCCCAGGGATCATTGGCCGAATCTCGCAACTGTTCCTAAATCCAGGAAATTTTAGTTACAGACCGATAATCACCATTTCAACCTAAATATTGAACCAAAGAGCTATGCAAACCAAGCATCATGCTAATGGAGTGGCCCTCGTCGGCTTGTATGTTGGATTTCCGTTTATGTGACTAGAGGTCCAGGTGAATGATTTTATAAGTTGGTTATACTCTGGAAACCCCCCTAGCATAAGTGCTTAAAATCTGACAATATCTGTCAGGGTAGAACTTTGTGTAACCTGACACGATACAATAAGCGATCCAAGTGGGCCAGCGCAGTACGCGTAATCTGTTGGGAGTTGGCAAGGGAGATAATTAAAGGCCCAGCTAACATGCAATTAATTCATCGTAGATAGAGGTCTGATTTTTTTTAAGATTCCTTTTGCCAAAGATGTTCCCCACAATGGATTATGTTACCCACCAATGAGCTGGGACTTATGGTACTGTTGTCATCAAACAGGGTCCATATTCACACTGGAGTCTCAGTGGAGAGCCCAGGCAATGTGGCTTGCGTAATCCAGCTGTGTGAACTGAAACCTGGTCTTCTGGAGAAGGTGCCAAAAAGGTATCTCGGAGGAGATATCCAAAGTTATTGCGTTGGGTGTAATAATGGGACCGTGACTTCAAAGTCGCATAGACATATCCAGTTGCTGTAGGTCCTGGTTGAAGAGAAGAATATTTCTCAATACACGCTGTGCTGCGATAGGGCAGGAGTTGCAAGTAGTTGGCATCATCGTCCTCTAAATCAACGACTAGAGGTCATCATACTTACCGAGATTCCATCTAGTTCTCATACTTACTGTATGCGAATTCTTGAAATCTCTATGGTATGCGGACGTGGCAGTCTATGTAGTTCTAGACCTACGTATATGCACCATGGCATGTGATCATGCAGAAAGGAAGGACGCTAACTAGATTCTGCGACCCAGAGCCCGGGTCGCAGAATCTAGTTAGCGTAGCAAACAGAATCAGCTACTTGCCTGGCGAAGAGCAAACACTGGAGCGACTGCTCTCTTCTCGTTCAAAGGTCTCGTAGGAACATCGTTTTTGGCAGAAAGAATGTGGCATGAATGTTTTTTTTTTCACTTATGGAATACTTTGTTGGCGTGATAGAGGTCGCTAGGGTTCCACTTATTGATTCCTGTTTCAGATGAATCATGGCTTGGCTATATTCGATTGGACAGAGTGAGCTGAGATTTCGCGAATGGGAGAGAAGCGGGAACCGCAGAAGAATTTGGGGGTACTGTAAGGCAACGGAAGACAGGAGCGAGAGCTGAGAGCCTTAGCGATGGAAAGGCGCCCGGGGATCAGCTTTTAAATGTGATGAATGTGCAGCTCAGGGGCACCTCAGCGCCACGGGCGCATCGCACGGGCCCTTCCTGTTCCTACCCCCCATTTCGGATGTTGAACGCTGCCATCAGTTGTGGAATGGGGTTTTTACCTCTTACTTCAAAGTCCCCCAGCTGTTATCCGTTTTGCTATATTCTGAGCCATGGAGCGCGATTGTCGCCTGTTTCAATGCCAGGGTGATTATATCAAGCACCTAGAATTACGCATCATCGAGCTAGAGACTGCCTGCTTGTCTCACTACCCTGAGCTCCGAAGGGAAGGACAATGTAGACCTTGCGAGGTCTGCCGAAATCCCAATCTTTACACGAAGGATTTCGGTGGTCCCCAAGAAAGCTCTGGCGATAGTTTCAGGCTAGCCTCCGAGATTTGTCAGGACAATCAATCGAGTCAAAATGACAGACCCCCGGAGAGCACATTCGCCATTATCCCATACGAGCCATCCATCATAATTGAACCCCCAGCCACAACAGACTCCTCCACGCCAAACGTGCCTGCGCAAAAGAAACGGTGTCGTTTTTCCTCGTTCACATCCTCAGTTGGTGATCTACCTGAATCTTCTAATTGGAAAAAATGGGCCTCCATCAGTGAAACTCAACGAAAGAAGATCGTTCTTAGCTTGGTCTCTGGATTGACCTTCCCAAATGACGAAAACCCGATCGCGTCCAGACAACCTGCCCCTATACCAATCCTGTTAGAATACGGCAAATCCATGGAGCCGGCGGGACTGACTCACACCTCGGCAAAATCAGCAGAAAAACGACCGTTTGCATGCTTCCAGGAACTTGTATTCTGTTCACTGTGTGCGGTAGCCTTGGAAGTCACTGCAAAAGAGGATGTCTTCCAAGCTATGCAGTCGGTTTTCCAGTCTGACGCCGGATCGAAGTCTCTTAGAGCTCGGATTCGTGGCGCAAAATGGGCAAACCGGGCCATACACCTTTTATCACTCACTAAATGGGGCTCTTGTAGCTGGGACATTATTTACGTTGGTATGAAACATATTTCGAGTTCCCATGGATAAGCTAACTGACTAATTACGGTAGCTAGTAATCAAGTCAATTTCTACAACGAGTTCAACGACTATTCGATCAAACCCGATGACTTGATAAACGGGCTGAAGACAGAGTTCTACCCCAAGGATCCCCCAGATATATCAGTACCCCTCGCAATTCCTTCAATAATACAAAAAATATATAAGGATCTAGTACCGTATGCGACCCACCTGAAACATCTTGCACATATTTGCTGACGTGTTCTCATTATAGGCTTGAAAAAATCTGCGAACACCTAGGATATGAGCTTTGTGAGTATAATAAGCTTGACCTTTCTGGTCTTGAAGAATTTCTTGGTGAGCCAACCAACGTCGAGTCAACACACACCGGGCCTACCAATAAGCGGAAAAATTGCCTTTCCAGCACTTCATCGAAAAGGCGCTGTGGGAATACGTCATCTAGCTCACCAAGAGGTAAGATGCCGTAGAGAAATTTCGTTTTCCGTCATCCAAATTCCGGGACTGATCTTTATAGTCGTTGAATCTTCGAATGCATCATGTTCGCCATATCAAGCCTCATCGGCCCCATCGGCACCGGATTCCTGTCCAGAATCTGCGATTGATGAGCTTTTCGGCCACCCCCCAAATGAGTTGAGCCCGAGGGAAAGCCCTCTGGAATTTCCCGGAAACTGTGAAGTAAATGGGCTCTTAGAAGAGTATCCAGGCATCACATCGACTCCAATAGAAAGGACACTTAGCAACGGCACCACCGGTTCAAATGACGACAGGATTGATGCAAATAGCAGGGATATTGACCCCTCGATCAGCAAACCCTCCGCACTACAGGGCATATTGAGTCAGTCACCTTTACTATTTCCTCAAGCTCCACGGACTTGCTCTCATGACCCACCACCACCAATTGAATCCCTGTGCGATTGGGTCACAGGCGATGTATCTTTACTGCAGCAACCCTGGAGTACTGTTCTACCCGCCGATATTGACATGTTGCCCCCCATTGAATCGCTGTGTGACTGGGATACAGACGATGTGTCTTTACTGCAGCAACCTTGGAATACTGTTCTACCCGCCGATATTGACATGTTGCCCCCCATTGAATCGCTGTGTGACTGGGATACAGACGATGTGTCTTTACTGCAGCAACCTTGAAATACTGCTCTGCTCGCCGATATTGACATGTTGCCCCCCATTGAATCGCTGTGTGATTGGGACACAGGCGATGTGTCTTTACTGCGGCAACCTTGGAATACTGTTCTACCATCCGATATTGACATTTCGCCATCAATTCACCTTGGCCAGGGCGTGGGCACACCTATGCTTGATCGGATTTTGGAAAAACTTATTTTGCCCTCTCTCGCACACAACTCAACGCATTGCTTCAGACCCCTCTGTAAGCCTGGTGGAAGCGATGTAACTAACCACTTAATATTCTCTGAAACATAATAATGACATTGTTGAATGATAAGCTACACATACTTCAACCCAGTCCAATCTGAGCCACGCGCGGATTTTAACGAGGTACAAAGAATAGAGTAGTTGCACCCGCCCCCAAAACAGGCTCATTCTGGACTTTTATGTATGATCCGCCCTTCAACAAACCCCCCGGGTACACCTGCATTTCGTCCGATATTGCTATAAGATATCCTTTTTTTCCAGTATTGACCAATTTCGTAGAAGTTGACCAGTATCTCAAGCGCCCTTCCCAAGTCTAGCGAAATTAGTGGAGTGCCGTAAAAAGGACGCGCATCAATACCTACTTCATCCAGGTTGAGTGCAGCTTTCATACGAGAAACCAAACCCGCGATCTCATCTCCGCCGTATTTTTTGTTTCCTTTTTCATCCTCTTCATATATCTTGACATCTGGTATCAATGCAAACATCTCCTTTCGGATATCGTCCGCGGCGGAAGGTAGCTCTTGGGGATCCATTGAACGAGAAAATGGTTCCTCAACGAACTGTTTGGACTTAAGATTAGAATATATTCCGTGCGCCAGCACTTGGGGACATTCGCATACCTTTAAATTTTTGCGAGCACGGTTGAAAAGACTAGAATTTGCTTCGCTGCGATAAAGAGGGGTAAGCATGTGGTCGGTTATCACCGCCGCCGGGCTTGGGCACTAAATCACATGACTTTAATCATTCGGGCTGGGCAAGGCCGAAACGTGGCCGCTAATATTCGCCCGCAAGAGATATGGAAATCATTGTCTGTTCAACTCTATTAAGCTGGTGGCTAAGTTAAGGAAATCTGTGGAATTGATTACAGATACGGTTCTTATCCAATTTGCGATCTAAAAAAAAAAATTCTTGGTAAAATGGTGTTTCTTAAAGACAAGTCTTGGGATGATCGCATAGGAGGGACTGTATTCACCACCTTAATTGCCAGTCAGGTATGCGGCCCGGGATGATCACCCGAAATGAATCGGCAAAGGGATATAAGCCGAAGAAGATTGCAGTTCACTGCTTGCTTGTTTCAGAGGAGGTTCCATGGAATTATCAACGACACTCAAAACCGCTGCATCTAGCTGTCAGTTCTTGTTTACTTGCCCTCATTTGCGGTCGGTATGATCATGATAATAGCTGGGAAATTTGTCTTCGTAAATCAGAGTTACTTGCAGGGCTCAGGAATACGATCTTCTTTTCTTTTGAAGGGTAATACTTTATGAGTAGCTCATGAGACGATGATTCCAATGTAGGCAGAAAAAGTGACACACTTAACAACATCATCAAAAGTAGCCTGGTCGACAAGTCCGTAAACCGAATCAGTTTATGCGACGTTGGTCGCCAGAGATCCATCATCGAAATGAACAGTTATCATCGTTGAGAATAAGTTGACTGGGACTGCCTGAAGTAGAAAAAGTAGCCAGTGTGTATTTCAACGGTAGAAATTTATACTTATCAATGTTGACACGGTGCCTCATTGGTGTTTCGACTTGTGGTGACTACGTCACGAACGTCGAAGCGACGTTGAGGTCGTGAAATATGACCTCAGAATAGATATTGATCGAGCTGAAAATCGTGGTGCCGCCCACAACAGCATGAAATCAATAGTGAAACAGTTCAACAGGCCACAATATGAGGTTCAATTCAGTCGGAACCTTGATCACAGCTGCCCAAGCGACGTGGTGGTTGCAACTCTATAAAGATGTCCCTGGGCCCAGCACAACGATCATTTCAAAAACACCCCCAGTCAGCCCAGTCTAAGACATAAGCAGTTTCTCTTCCGCCTTGCCCGTTTTTTGTGCTGATTCCACATATCAAGTTCGGCCTCCATATATTAACAGAACGAGAGAACATCGAGTGGCACAAGTCTGCATCGGAGTTTGACCTTCACCTTAGAATTTCATTCTGTTGGTACGGGACCTGATCCCTCCAATTGGTGACTATACTGACGCCTGAGACACCACCTCTAGATTGCTGACGCTTGATGGAGGGCTCCATTCATGGCAGGTATGTGCATCGATGCCGGCACTTGACACCACGCCGACGTCATAGCTTCCTAGATAATTGGCCCTATTTGCTAGCTTTCTAACGAATCCAATCGATGTCTGTGCCTGGTCTCTATTTGGGAATATTTTCCAGCTGGGAGAATAGGAAATGATACAGAGACCTCCCCCTCTTCTCTAGTGACAATGTATGACAGATCGCGCCCCAAGCAGCCCCGCATCAAGATTCAATACTACAACTATCGTCGAAAGCTCTCCGAAGGCCGGTTGGTAAAACCTTTTCAGTGAGGCTTCTTGGTCGGTCACCTCGGGCTGACGATTCGCTACACTTGGCAATGCTCCCCGATCCTCCACTGTCGCCACCAGATCAAGGCTCGATGTCCTTAAACTGGCCAGGAGGGGGTATCGCAGAAGGTGTGTTAATCCTAATCTTGCCTCAGTATTCTCACTCGATGATAATAGCTGTCACATGGACAGCTGCTCATCCACCTCACGGTTACAGAACGGGTTGACGGAAAGGGGTGACTTTGAAGACGAATATGATATGAAGATTGAAGAGGGGTGGTAGCTCTGTTACCCCCCCCCCCCCCCCCCAACCAACTCGAATTCTCTTCTCCTCCCAATCAAGGCTCAGCGTGTTCGCAGTTTATCATGTACATGTCTCATCGTGTATGCAAAGTCCCATATCGTCAAACTTATGAAGGGTTAGAGAGGGGTATTATGCAGAATTCCCCTCGAAAGGCGGTGTGAGAATCTTGGGCGGCCTGAGTCAGGACGTTGCTTCTCACCCTTTGCAGTGAGCTATGCGAGGCCTGAGCTTGAGTATTTTTGAGCACTCCATGCAGAGCCAGAAAAGGCTGCATATTGATTCAGCTTATCTATAGAATATTGGTTGTTCTTTTCGACCTGCCAAGCTTATATGATGGGAAAAGTGACACAGCTTGGATCAGGCTTATGATTTGTTCTACTTAGTCAATTTGCTCATCCGAGCAGTCTTCTCCACGTGGCAGACTAAAGGTGTTGGTGCATTCGAGTCATTCACGGCACCGATTGGCCCATTATCTTTTTGGCATATATCATTAGTATCCATAGCATCCAACGATAGCATTGATATCGACAACCACAGGTTCCCGGGAGTCAGGATGAGATATTAGCCATTGTTTTTCTCCGTAAATATCACTCTATTAGTGGTATCCAATGATTGCATCAATATTTACGACCCACAGGCTCCTGGGAGCCAAGGCCAATTATCAACCAATCATTTCATTGAAGACTTATGCGCATGTGGGCCTTTGGTGACACTAATTGGCTGATGTTTCCTTGTAGTAACAGTCACCTTAGGCGGCATACGGAGATGCCTTACACCTAAGGCTGACCCACTCCCCCTGGGAGTGGGTCAGCCGGGGGTCAACGAAATACTGCCCTCAACAATCATGAAATTACTATTCTAGCTACTACCACCACCACCACCATAAATATTGTATTTTAACATGGAAAGGGGTCATCTATGACGTTTATCGGTGTATAATCCGGGTACTTTTGTCCAAAAGTAATTGGTGTAGGCGTAGCAGGAGTGCCTAAAGGTACCTGGTTTCGGACAGCCGCATTGTATTCCTTTCGTTCATCCTTAGTTTTTCGATCATTTGCAAAACGAATAGCATCTTTGGTAGTCAGGGCACCAAATTTGCCTAATTGCTTTTGGGATTTGCGTGCAATTGTAGGTTTTTTAGGTAATCGGTTCTCTAATGTGTTATATAAGAGACCAATATCCTCAGTTAACTGAACCTGCGATTTTGCCACACGTTGTATTTGGCGGCGTATATCGGCAGGGACATCGTCACGGTTAAGTAAACTCTTCACTTTATCGCATGTTCGACGTGCATCAGCTGATGACTTAGGTGGCGAGCTTGGAATACTAGATGCAACCTGTAGCTGTGGTGTTTTGTTGCTATCGAATATCTGAAGCTCTGGCTTAGGGGTTTGTGCTTCTACCAAAGGCTTGATAATCAGGTCTAGATTATAGGGTAGTATACCACGTGTAGCAAATGCATTGCGAATAGTACGTGGTTGCAATGCATCCTTACGAATTTGTGTAATTTCCTCAAAAAAAACACCAATATCGCGTGCATCTCCACCCCATTGAGTAATCTGGTTATTCTTGGTCCGATATGCCTGTTTCAATGCACGGAATGGAGACCTATCAAGTGGTTGAATAATATGGGTTGTATGAGCTGGACAACAATATGGAATGATGTTGTAGAAGTCACAGCGATCTAAAAACTCGTAGGTTAGATGGCTGCGATGCCCATCCATGATCAGAAGCCTGGGCTGTATTCTCTTTTTTGGTAGGCGATCCTTAGTATTAAGGTGGAAAAAGTCCAGCCAATCGAGTGCCAATAGGTCATTTGAATATCCAGTTCCTGAAACTACAATCCTGGTAGCTTCTGAAAGTTTACCACCTTCATACCACCGCATCAAATGAACTGACCCTGGTGCCACAAAATAGGGTTCCATCTTCCAACCATCGGCCGCAATACATTCAATTCCAGTTAATAACTGGCCTCGTTCAAATGAATGGGTTCGCGTTCGTTTTGGATTGGCTGAAATAACGTTTTGTGGCCGGCCTTGGCTAAGGGTAAAGCCAGTTTCATCAAAATTATACACATGCTTTGCTGGAATACGCTTTATAAAAGGCTCCAGGCGTTCATACCACGCAGTCAAAACACCTTTATCCTCCCCAGTAATTCGATTTTGATCTGCAGGCTTTTGATGAACCCAATTGAGGTCATTTGGCAAGCGGACGTTGACGAAATCATACACCCAGTCTTTGCCAAGCGGACGTACGGCGGGGTTATCCCTGCGTAGTAACGCATTTGCACTCACAACCACCATTCCAGCCGTAGGTGGAATATGTAGGTTATCAAGGCGCCGAATCCAGCCTACTAATGACGCTTCTTGTTCGTCATTTAGTCGCTTATAGGCCATATGGCGCGTGCTGCGAGATGCGCGACCAAGGTAGCGTGCCCGAAGTCGCTGCATTGGAACGTCATATTTACGCGCTAACGCAGCGATATTGGGGTTTTTTGCAACCCTAGCAGCCGAACAAGCGGTTTGGATACGCATTTTAATTGCATTATATTGACTAGTCATCGTGGTGGTGGTGTTGGTGGTCGAAATAGTAATATTGTGATTGTTGAGAGCAGAATTTCGTTGACCCCCGGCTGACCCACACGCGCAGCGTGTGGGTCAGCCTTAGGCTTAAGGCATCTCCGTATGCCGCCTGAGGTGACTGTTAGTAACCATCTTCCCGTGTCCACTTAGTTCCCAGGAGATCGATGTAAGTATTGCTATACGCAAAGACGAGGTCGATAACAGAAAAAATTGTTCTGCGAAAACATAATCGATCTAGTGACTCACTAACTATACAAGGAGCTCTTTCGTGAGATGTGGGCTGTGCGAATCAGTCCCACGCTACACCATAGCTT